TGACAGAAAGAAATTATATATATATAATTCTATTTTATCCGACCTTGTAATTGGTAAGCGTGATTATTCCCAATTCCCCAAGATATAGCTCCTGACAATCAAGTATACAATTGAAAGAAGCATGATTCAGAAACGAACTGTTCCCCCATTGAGTTTGGAAGATAATATAGTTTTCTCATAAATACTACAACTGACATCTCATGAATCTCATGAACATGTATTCAACACACATTTGGGGATTCACGTTGTGGAAATACTATTATTCCGGGAATATTCTAAGTGCAAAGATTCAGTCTGTTTTGAATAGCACCTTGTAAAGCAAGCATTCCCATTGTCCGATCTTGTAATTGGTAAGCGTATTTTTCCCAATTCCCCAAAATATAGTTTCTAGTAATCCAGTATACAATTAAGAAAAGCATGATTCAGCAACCAGAACTGTTCCTCCATCCAGTTTCAAGAAAAATATATTCTCACTATGTTCTCATAAATATAAGAACTGACATCTCATAACTTCCAGAAACATCTTTTGAACACACATTTGAGGAGTCACTTTGTGGAATATATACTTTATTCCAGGAATATTCTAAGTGCAACCATTCAGTGTGTTTTGAATAGAACCCTTGTAAAGCTAACGTTCCCAATGTACGATCACAAATGCGGTCCTCATCAGCTTGTGCGATTTGCGCCAGCCAAGAACAAGCAGCACCAACCGTTTTGAACACTTGTTCGACAACCTGTTTACTGCCTGACAAAGTAGCCTTGAAACCCCCATGAGTTAGAGTCACGAAACATTTCTTTTGCTTTTCGGGTGGAACAGTGTGCCTGACAATAGCTTGACATATCTTCGCTTCCACCCCATCTACTTTGCCTTCGCAAAGCTGTTTGAGAACAAATCCTTTTTGTAATGCAATGTTTCTCTTGCAACACCGATCTTTAGGCCATCCATAGCTAAGCAAGAAATCTTTCCGTGCATCTGGCTTCTTGGTCAATTTCTCAAAGTCTCTGATGATGGATAACGTTTCCTTCTCGAATGTCTTGGCGGCAACTTTGGCAAGCATATGCGTCCCCAAAGAAGAAACAGTAAACCTCCTGACCATGCTTTCATAGGAGAAATTCACCATTGTCTTGTGGACTTTGAGGTATGGACCAGTCACCTCCACCTGCGGTGTTTGTCTTATCTAGATGTGTTTGAACATGTGGTATACCGTATACCTCAGTATACCTTCAAAATAGTTATATATCTTAACGGGGAAATGATAATAAACATATGGATGCAGGGGATACCATATCTTCATACAAACCCATTCATTTATTTATATCAGCATCTGAATTCACTATATATATACATAGCTCTATTTGTAAGCCGATATTATGAAGTTCATTTTCCTTCAACACAGTGGAACCATTGAAAACAACATGGTTGCTTGCTTTGTATAGGTTGTTATACTACTAAATTTGTTGGGAATAATGATTGATAATGATATAGCACATGATAGGGAAACCTAGCAACCAACTAGTATGAGGTGAAATAATGGTAAGTTCAATGACCTAGTTGGTTCCGTCCTGTTTGAAAATCATACGTGTTTGTGCACAACTATGGTCCCACAAAACCCAACAGATCATCAGAATTTACAAATTAGAATAGCATTTTGTGGATATATATATATATCACTTGTGCCTCATCCTGCGTGATCACTTTCTCCACCGGTGCTGGTGACGCTGGCGATAACTGATCTGTTTCAGGTGAATCAACTGGTGGTGGTAGCGGTGGAAGATGAACCCCATCTGTAGATCCGGTAGCAACTGTTGGTTTGCTAGCGTTCTGTCTCATACGAGCCACATCTTGAGCATCCACAACTGTTTGGTCCTGTAGGTGCTGCAAACCCTTAAACTATTTGATTATTGTGAGCGTTACTTTCTTGCTTAGGTTGACGTATGGTAGTTTATTGGTTTACAGCTAAGCTGACCTAAACACTTTGCACTTAGAATATTCAAAAACCTAAATGTGATCGGATGTTTGGTTTTATCAAAACAAAATAAACTACATGTAAATACTAAAACTATATCTTCAACCATGCTCAAACCAGGAACGCTTCAACATTAAAACAAAACCAGTCCTTCATAGCCTGGTTCAAGACAACCAGATTGTATTCATTTCGCTTGCTCTTGTCACCTAGCACTTCCCAAGCCTCATTGAGTTTTCGCAAAGCCTCCTCTGATTGAGTTTCTTCGAGTTTCGACTTCACCTTGTTGAACCCTTCCAACAAAGAGTCAGACGACATTCTAGCCAGCTGCATGCACCGTTGGATGGGTGTGCATACATGACTTGGCAGCTCAATCTGAAGAGTTTCATAGTGGTCGTGAAAGCAGTCCATGGCCATATTCCCGAACATTCTGGTATCATGGATTGCTTTGGAACAAAATGTTGCAGGAATGCAGTGTTTTTCTCGAAAGAACCTAACCCCTCGAACACTCTCGAGTATGTATACGCGTATTGTTTCCAAAAAACACATCAATAAGTAATGTTTTTATTTATATTATTATTATCGAATATTCTACATATAATATCCAATATTAATTCTAAGTGATCTGCTAGCACTTAGAATATTGACGTATTCATTCTCGATAGTTCAGCGGAATCTGAAGAGTTTCATAGTGATCGTGAAAGCATTCCCAAACCATATTCCCGAACATTCTGGCATCATGGATCACTTTTTAAAAAATGTCGCAGGAAGCAACGTTTTTTCTCGAAAGAACCTAACCCATCGAACACCCTTGAGTATGTACGTATTGTTGCTAAAAAACCGTCAAGAAGTAATGTTTCTATGAATATCATTATTATCGAATATTCTACGTGTAATATACAATATTCTAAGTGACCAGCTAGCACTTAGAATATTGTCGTATTCATCCTTGATAGTCAAGCTATTGAGCAACTCGTAGCAGCTATTTAGCAGCTATTTAGCAACTGTTTGACAACTATTTAGTGGTTACTTAACAATTATTTAGCATCTAATGGCTATTTAGCAACTATTTAGCAGCTATTTAGCATGTATTCAGCAACTATTTAAGAACTATTTAGCAGCTGTTTGGCAGCTATTTAGTAACTATTCATCAGTTTGTTTTCAAAAAAAGTATTGTTTCCAATAACGCTTCAAGAAGTAATGTTTTATTAATATCATTATTATTAAAATAATATTCTAAGTGCAATATCGAGCAGCTATTGAGCAGCTATTTAGTAACTATTTAGCAGCTATTTAGCAGCTATTTTGCAGTTATTCAGCAACTATTTAGAAGCTATTTAGAAACTATTTAGCATCTATTTAGCAGCTATGTAGTAGTGATTTAGCAATTATTTTGCAACTACTTAGCAGCTATTTAGCAACCCTTAGCAACTATTTAGCAGCTATGTAGAAGTTATTTAGCAACTATTTTGCAACTACTTAGCAGCTATTTAGCAACTCTTAGCAGCTATTTAAAAGCTATTTAGCAGCTATTTAGTAACTATTTGACAGCTATTTAGTGGCTTCTTAGCAGCTATTTAGCATCTAATAGTTATTTAGCAGCTATTTAGCATATATTCAGCAATTATTAGTAACTATTCAGCATCTCTTTCAAAGAAGTATTGTTTCCAGAAACACTTCAAGCAGTAATGTTTATTAATATTATTACTGTCGAATATTCTAAGTGTAATATCGACAAGCTATTTAGCAACTATTTCGATATTATTTGGCATCTATTTAGCAGCTATTGAGCAGCTATTTAGTAACTATTTAGCAGCTATTTAGCAGCTATGTTGCAGTTATTCAGCAACTATTTAGAAGCTATTTAGCATCTATTTAGCAGCTATGTGGCAGTTATTTAGCAACTATTTTGCAACTACTTAGCAACTATTTAGCAGCTATTTAGCGGCTATTTAGCAACTGTTTGATAACTATTTAGTAGTTACTTAACAATTATTTAGCATCTAATATCTATTTAGCAACTATTTAGCAGCTATTTAGCATGTATTCAGCAACTATTTAAGAACTATTTACCATCAGTTTTGTTTAAAGTATTGTTTCCAAGAACGCTTCAAGAAGTATTGTTTTATTAATATTTTTTATTATGAAATATTCTAAGTGCAATATCGAATATTCTAAGTGCACTGCAGATAGAATATTATCAAAAATCCAGCCGGGCCTTTAAAAAGAGCCGCTGAACTCTCAAGGATGAATACGTCAATATTCTAAGTGCTAGCTAGCAATTATAACATAATATAATATAACGTAATGTAATGTAATATAATATTTTATTATATAACATAATATATTATATATATTATATATTATATATTATATATTATATATTATATATTATATATTACAGGAACCGACAGAATTATGGGAAAAAAACACGTTTCAATTTACAGGCGCCGCCTGTCTATGATAGAAAAGTTACGAACCTTTTTTTTTCCATAATTATTTTTCCATATTTTTTTTTCTCCATAATTCTGTCGGTGACTGTATGTCCATCGATTCGCAATTTGAATGCATTTTAAGGGGGAATATTGAATTATAGAAAATATGTGTCTAAAGATCTGGTATATGCCCCTAAAGCCTGCCATTGATATACATAATATGGAGCCCCAAACATTAATTATGGAAAAAAAAAATATGGAAAAAATAATTATGGAAAAAAAAAAATATGGAAAAACCGGTCAATCTGCCCTAGCCCCCTGATTTTACAGGGAAAATCAATTATGGAAATAATGGCCACCTCCCAGAATTATGGAGAAAAAAAAAGGTTCGGATCACTTCCGGGATATTTTGAACCCTTATGGGGAAAAACCTAATTATGGAAAAATCGGACGCAGGCGCCGCCTGTCTAAGTTGAACGTTTTTTTTCCATAATTCTGTCGGTGACCATATATGATTTTATAGTATAATAATAATGATTATATATACAGTATATATATATATACAGTATATATATATATATACACATCATCCCCAGAAATGATGAATTCCTGGGGATCAGGTTTCTCCACAGACCAGGTCTTTCTAGTCATCTTCTTTCGGAGCACCTTGGACGACTCGAAGCTGATCATTGACGACTCCACGGCATCCCGCTATTTCGGTACCTTGGATTGTTTTCAGACCTTGGACATCGACCATTGGAAAGACTGTGGCTTGTTTGATGATTTTTTTGCGGAATTTTGGCCACCAAAATGTTGGCAAAACATGGAAAAACATGTTGGCCAAACATCCGCACAGCTGCACAGGAATGCACTGCCCACAGGATCAGGATTGACATTTGCCTCCAGGGAGTTGTCACCAAACTCCATTCCTAGAAAAGCCTGGTGGCTGGTTTAGACAAAGATGGGGTTTGATTAACAAACACGAAGATCTGGTCTGGGCGACCAGAATGGGGATTTGCGACACCACAGTTTGTTGGTTCTATCATATCATACATCAGATATCATACATCATATCTCATATATCATACATCATATATCACATATCATCATCATATATCATATCCTCATTTCTTGCTGCATGTCCAACTTTCTGGTGCTTTCTCAGGTGTGACTCTGATGATCTTCCTGGGCTTCGGATACCTCAGGGCTTTCCTGAAGGTGGCCCCTCCATGCTGTGAACCAAGCGGTACTCATTGGATACTGCAGAAACATCTCATGTCAAAAGCGCGAAGATAATTCGCATGGTCAAGTTGCTTGTACTGGATACTGCTTAAATTGAGCGCTTTGAGAGGTTGCGACTTTCTAAAAATCATGGTGCGACTGCAAGAAGCATTGGGGGCCTCACATTAAGCATTGGTGGTCGACGGTCGAGATTCGCCAGTGTTGAATCACAGTGAAGTTTGAAGCACACATTCGTCAGTCGTTGTTTTTTAAAAATGTCGTTTTTATAAGTGTAGGATCTGCGCATTTGAAAGATTCTCAAGGTTTGTAGCAATGTGTCAGCAGGGAAAACACGAGCTGCATTTGTTTGGATGCTCCAATAAAAGAAAAGCATCAAGATCTCAGTTTTATTGGTTCATGATCTATTGGAAACACAGTTTTTATGTGAAAACACATGAAAACACGAACCTGCTTCATGGTCTCAGCTTTTTTTCTAGACACCTCCCTTGCTGGCCAGGCCTATGGCTTAGGGGCTATTGGCTTCACGTTTCTCGGTCCGCTTGTGCTTGATGGTTGGGTGAACGTTTAATTTTGGTAATCGAACTTAGCTGCTTAGCTATGAAAAAAGGTAAATCATCTACATAAAGGCATAAAGGGCTATTTTCTGTAGAGTACTTGAGCGTATCTCATGGTATCTCACTGAAAAGGTGCAATTCATGGCTATCTACCCATCAAAGCTAACCTACGGACATAGCCAGTGAACAAAGGAAATGGGTTTACTGAGGAACGAACACAATCATATGGCTATTTCAATGGGGAAAATGAATGAAAATGATGAAAAACCGTGAAACTTTGAGGCCGTATAATTCGTCTCCCACTGCAGTATGTTTCAAACGGGGTATCGATTCCGCAATCGCCCCGCCAAGGATGTTGATTGCGTCCCTGGGAATGCAATGGTCCATGATTCTGGAATCTTTGGCACGGAAGGCTTGGGATATCGTGGGATGGGATCGAATTGGGGCTTTTGGTGATGACCTCAAAGAGGTATCCCGGCGCCGGGAACAAAGTAGACTTCAGACCCATTTCACCTGCTTTTGGAGCGTGCCCAAGTACATGTACATTCCGCACGTTCAGGATTTTTTTGGTTGTCATGTGAATGTTGGTGTTTTAGGTATTTTTGGGTTTGTCTGAAAATAGGGTCCCCCACCATCCACTCATGAATCGACTCATGAATCATTATTTTCCCTATTGATTCACATTGCCATCATTTTTTTTTGCATACTGTATAGATATTGTATAGATTGTATATCGCATTTCAGACCCATATCCACAATGAATTGGTAAAATCCCTGTGTTTGATGGTCAGATCCATATTTTGGATGGTGTTTTGATGCTTAAACCATGACTTAAGTAGGGAATATGGGTGGCTTAACCATTCTTCAACCACACCAAAATCCCCATGACTTGGAGACTAGGCGGAGCTGAAAGTGGACTCCAGCGCGCTGTTGCATGCGGACTTGGGTGTTGCTGCTGTCCCTTGGCACCCGGGGGATCCCAGTTTACGAAAATATGGAAACATCCCAGATTTCACCACTCAAAACTTGGTAGAAAAGTCCCGGGTTTTAAACAGGGGTGTGTAGCGAAAATCACAGGGCATAACAGGGATATCAATGGAGATCATATATCTAACCAGTATAATGGGATATAAGCATATATTTCATGATTTTCATGGCGCATCTCTCAATGGCACTACTGAGGTCCTTGTCTCCTTCGGGGCCGTGATTGGTGCCCTGTCGCTGATGTGGGTGAGGCAGGTGAGAGGTAATACCAAATGTGAATTCAGCATTTATGATATATTATGATTAATAATGATTAATAATGAATACTAATGAATACTAATGAGTAATAATGAGTACTAATGAGTAATAATGATTAATAATGATTAATAATGATTAATAATGATTAATAATGATTAATAATGATTAATAATGATTAATAATGATTAATAATGATTAATAATGATTAATAATGATTAATAATATAATGATTACTATCATACTAATGCCATATATTATGATGATACAATAGTGTACATACAACATTTATTCACGCAAGGTGATTGAAGCAAAGTAATTATTGTTTATTTGAACAGTTTCACACGCCAGAGGCAGATTTTCAGGAATGTTCCAGGCCGGTGTTGCCTAGAACTTTTGCTGCTGGTGATTCAGTGATGTCTAGTTCACTCAGGCAGGATCAGTCCCACACAGATCGTGATGTTGGTGTTGCTGGAGCTTCCTGTCTACACCATCAACAAGGCCGAGACTGTTGGCTATCGACTGGCACCTGTTTGAACATGGGAACTTACTGTAGCTATTGGTACGGGTTGACCATGTTTCAGACAGTTTGGTCAATCACTTAGCCAAAATTCAAACGGTCCGCTTCGTCTGCCGATTGCAGGGATCCACTTTGTCTCTGTATTTTTGTGTCGGTCGACCAACAACCACCTTCTCAGTTGTCAGCTTCGTTGTTGCAGTGTCACTACCCTTGGCACTTCGAGCTAAAAATCTCCATGACAACTTAGGTCTAGGGAATACAATCCTCATGACCTTTGGTAAGCAACCAGTTGAGAGATTCAAAACCCTGGAGGTCTTTCTGATTCACCAGTTTGACACTTGGCAGATGTGGCGACCACGCACGTTTTCGCCCACCAAAAAGGTGAAGATGGGATTGGTGCCCCGAAAGTAACCATTACAACAACTATATAAATGGTGACACACTGAGAAGAAGAATCGATGTAGGTGCACTTGTCTGAGCCATACCAACCTGGCCAGTGCCGAAAAAGTACCAAATTGATCCAAATTGGTATAGATTATTGTAGGGCTATGTAATGGGACGATACAATTAAAGTGGCATGTATCTGTCGCACATATAACTTGACTTGGGTTTGTCCAAAACAATGGGGTATACCCCAAAATTTGCGATTAAAATGAGAAACAAATGATGATGGACAAAATGATGAAGAACCACCAAAACTGTAGGAAAACAATATGGAATCATGATAATCAAACACCAAATTTGGGTGCTTTTCCCCAGATTTTCTGAGCCAAGCCTGAGCTGAGGACACCTCGAAACATGTCCGCGATGGAGGTAGCACCATCGTGGTCCATGCCGCAGCCTTGGGGCAGATAGATATAACCGTTGAATATATATAAAAAAATATTATATATATATATGTACATATTATATATATACATATTATATATATATGGTTGGTGGTTTGGAACATTTTTTCCATATATTGGGAATACTCATCCCAACTGACGAATATTTTTCAGAGGGGTTGAAACCACCAACCAGATATATATATATATATATATTAGATCATACCCATCCAAATAGCTGTCGTCAAAAAAGGGATTTCTTTATATTTGGGCAAGCTTTGTCTTGGCTGTTTTCCTTCGTGCATTTTTTCTTTGGTGCTCTCCCTCGTGCCACAAATCGTGCTCTAGATCGTGCTCAGTGTTACAGCATGTTACAGCTATTAGGCTAGTGTCAAATTAGGTCCATATATGTAGTACCATTGAATTTTGGTTGAATGTAGCATAATCATGCATAATCCACATATTGTACAACATATTGTTCAAACTATCCTTGGTTTAAGCTGCCGGCATTATTGATTCAGTGATTCAATGCTAAGAATCAAGAAAAAAACATCCCCAGGGTTTTTGTTCATTTTTGTTGGCAAAAACATGTTTTGTGTCCATCAATTTCCTTGTTTTTCCAGTTGCTGCCCAGACTGTTTTCAATGTTTTTCCAGTTGTTTTCCACGGTTTCCCCCGATGTTTCCCGCTTTTTTCCAAATGTTATCCAAGTAATCCATGGTTTTCCATGTTTTTTCCACGTTTTCCAGTTGAATTTCTCCGATTGTTTCCGACTACCCAGGTCTTTGGGGCCTATTTCGGCTTGGCGGCTGCTACAGTGCTGGGGCCAGCTGTGAAGGACGCCAAGTCCTGGTTGTTTGGAGGATTTTGGAGCATAACTATCCATTAACCAGCTATTATGACTGAGGCTACCTAGGCTACCTAGGTACCAATGGGTACCAGGGTTTTGACCCATAAGCATGTCATAAAATGTCATAAACCTCCCCAAGTCATCATTCTGGATGGTTATTGATGGTTTTTGTAATAAAGTTGTAATCATGAAAATCACGGGCTATGTTATAGTTATCCTATTATTAAGTCATGATCATGCTCATTATCGGGTTTCCCACATTCACTGGTCTATTTGGGGGTTATGAACAAACCCAGAAGAGGAATATTTAGTAACCAGCAATTTGTGGCTCTCTAAACGATCCATTTAATGGTCATTTAATGGTCATTTAATGGTATTGAATATATGCAATTGTGAAGTTCTTTGACCATTTTTTATTCATTAGTATATGTCTACCATGCATTCTTTAGTGCTCCAAATAGCCCCAATGGGGATTCCAGTTCTGCAGTGTCGGATGATGGTAGCCAGGATAGATTGAAATGTAGCTCCTACCAGCCGAGATCTCAGACCCGAGGATGAGAAAACACCAAGCTGTGAAGACATAGAACCACAGATGCTAAGTACATATCTGGATGATAGGCATAGTACTATTGTTTTAGCTATTTTCAGGTTAGTGAGTTGTTATAATTCAGCCATATCTATCTATCTCTACATATATATATATATACACATATCTGCATTTACCATTTTGGTACATATTGGGTGTGTAGTGAAAAAAACACATAACAAAGTGGGGTTGATTGTTGGGCTGGGTCGACATTCTTGGGTTTAGGATGTCACGATGCCGTTCAAGCAGTGCAAACGTTGGAGCACCTGCTCCAACGTTGCCACGTTGACCTTGCCATAAACTTGGGGCCCTGGAGAAAAGCCCCATTCCAGAAGCGTTCAACCCGGCACCTTTGGGCGTAGGTCGGACATCTTCTCGTTGATTGGTACGATGTTCCTGTGGATGTTTCTTGGAAGACGGACTACGTGGGTCCAATGTCGAAACTGAAAGCAATCAAAGCACGGTGACACAGTCCGAGTGACACATGACAAGCCAATCCAAAAGGTAAAACATGGAACATGTCGAATTGGACACATGAACTTCAAGCAAACCATATAAAGGATCACAACTCTGGAAATAGCAGAGCTGCACTTCGAAGTGGTTCCCTCCTTGGCTCATGGGGTCAGCAGTAGTTTTGAGGAAACCGTCTTTCTAAGTTCGCAACTTACCTAGTTAAATGATGTGACATCACTGTGATTACATCCCCTATTTCTTGGTTGTTTACTGGTAAATCCATGTAAATCTTTAACATGTTCCATCCAAAACAATCCTTCAGAGCATCTTCCGCTCGCTGATCTCATGGTTTTTATCAAGTTCGCAGCCCACGGCAGTGAACATCCAGCAGGTTTTTACCAAGCTTCGTAGCGGTGGAACAAGCTACCCCTGACCTGCAGAGCAAGGCCATTTTTTTCTGCCGCTGGTCTGGTTGTACCCTGACCCTGGGAGATACCCAATTTTTGGACAATATGTCTGCATGGTTGTTGTATCTTTCATGAGTTTGTTCCGTTGAAGGAGCTATATATATATATGCATATGCATGTGTTATATGCATATACCCCAAATGGATGCCAATTTCAACAAGAGATAGAATGCCAACTTTTGGTAGGACCCATATTTTGGGCCATTGACGATGTCGGTTCGAATGTTTATCGGAAGAAACCTGCCTCCCCTTTCCAGCTTGCGCAAACAAAGCTCTTGTGGTTGGTGCCTGTCATTGTTTTTTTTCACTAATTATCTCGGCAAGAAACCCCAAACAGTGTGCTTTGAGGAACCGAAGAAGAATGGGAACAGGAGAAAGAGAAGATAAGAGAAGTGTGCACACAGCTGGTTGGTGATGTGTTAACAGAATGTCAGCGTCACAAGATCTCTATCACAGGATCTCTGAGCAAGACCTCTGCTCACTGCACCAGGTCTCTGTACAAAATCTCCATAAGAGGTCTCCTAGCAAGATCTCTGTACAAGATCTCTGAGAGGTCTCTTGGCAAGATCTCTGTACAAGTTCCCTGCAAGATTTGTGTAGGAGCAGTCGAAATGCACATGAACATGTCACAAGAGCCATTTTGTGTGGAAATTTACGGACGCGACCTCGATTGAACATCGGGCCTTAACACTTACCGTAAGAACCCCTCAGTGTGGCCACACTACACGTTTGGGGAAAATGAGAAACAAATCCATCTATAATCTAATATAGTATCTCTTGTTTAAGTTCTCTCTCTCTCTCTCTTCCTCCAACATGTGTGTATATCATACACTACTTGGATACACATATAATTATTTGTATATATATATATACATATTATACATACATATTATACATACATATGTATATATATATAATATATATATTATATATTATATATATATATCTTATGTTCTACATATATATATATATATACACAATATTATTGTGACCATCAAATCACCTCCAGAAGCACAGGCCATCGTGAACACCATCCTGGCTTTGCTCACCTCAACAGTCACTAGCTTTGGCTTGACGCAGATCCTGCAGGACGGCAGACATGGACCTTTTGACGCGCCAATGACCCGCCAAAATTGCCCAAAAATGTTAGGAAAACTATTTGAACATATTTGAACCCCCCCAAAGTTGGATGTTTTTTTGATGTGGAACTTTGACACATGTTCTTTTTGCCGATTTGGAAACTGAAGAGTCTGCAACGGGAAGCAAACTGAGGGTTCATGATCCGCAAAACAGTGGCGTCCAGGATGGCAAGATTGGAACGCGAGCAGTGCAAAATGCAACCTTGGCGGGAGGTGCGAAGACCTAAGACCAGCAACAAATGGTGTTGGATTTTTGGGGGATTTGAAGTCATTCGTAACAGGCATTTTTGGGTGGCGTTGCAGAGATCATTTTTCAAAATTGGAAGGTGACCTGGTAAAGCCTAAAGCCTAAACCACCATAAACCAGTAAACCATAGTAAACCATAGTAAACCATAGTAAACCATAGTAAACCATAGTAAACCATAGTAAACCATAGTAAACCATAGTAAACCATAGTAAACCATAGTAAACCATAGTAAACCATCTCCAAGGTTACTTGGTACATCTTGGTACTGTTTCATATGTTGATCTCGTTTTATTAGTGGCAAAACCATCCCCAGGTGGAAGTTTCCCATCCTGGATGGTCCAGGTGTGACCATTGGTGCCACTGCCAGCATCGTGGGCCCCTTTGGTGCGGGCGTCTTGGGCATCATGGCGGGGGCATTGTCAGGGACCCAGCTGGCAAGCTGGGCAAGCTGGAAGGCCTTAGATTGGAGGAAGCCCACTGTTATATATTTTTTACATATGTATATCACTTAGTTCATGGTAATGATGATGATAACAATAGTGTGTGAAATGATATGATATTGTACATTTGAATATTGATATGTATATATATATATGTACATAGAGGCACTTAATAGGCCCCAAGCCATGTAGAAACCTCACCCAAGGTCAACTGTGGCCTTTGCACACTCCAGCATGTTCAAATCGGTGGACTCTTGTGGCTTGGCTGGTTCAAAGCCCAGGATCTCAATGGGAAAAACCGATGGTTTCCCGGTTTTTTGATACCCTCTGGTTATGTCAAAATAGCTATTGAAAATGACCATTTATAGTGGATTTTCCCATTAATCATGGTGATTTTCCAGTTCGCTATGTTAAATTACCAGAGGGTACCAAAACCAAGACATTGACGATATATCGTTGCGGGTGCCCAAACTGGCTGCTTGACAATTTGTTGGTGTCCCTAGAGGGCTTGTTTGTTGATGGGCAATCTTTGCACGCCGATGAACGTTTGAAGGTGGTCATGGTATTTTTGGCCGAGGTCAACTATCAAAATCACGTTCGAAACTTCGAAACGTGGTTTCACGAAAAATCACGGGTGCTCCTTCACACCTCCTGAAAGTCGTCTTTCAACAATCTTGAAAGGTGAGCACCCGCAGCTATATTTGGTGATGTCTACACCCCATTTCTACAGTTACAGTAGATCTATCTGCGATAGACTTTTTAAAACAGTTGGCAATGTCTAGCAACTTAGCAAAACGGAACAGGATGGAACAGGGGCAGCCCATCATATCCCCATCTCATATACCCTCTGGTAAACGTTTACATTTTGCGAACATCATCATTTTTCATGGATAAATCAACTATACATATTATACATGGTCATTTACAGTAGCTGCAGTAGCTATGTAACACTTTGCCAGAGGGTACCAGAGGCTACCACTAGTTGTCTTGATGAGGTGGGATTCACAACCTGCACGGTCTTCCGGGGCTCCTGGGTGGTCACTTGGTGGAGAAACTGCCGCGGCGTTTCGAAACGAAACGCGGGGAGCGGGGATCAGGGATCATCGACACCGTTACAGGGAAAATATAGGGAAAATGGATGGAAAAATGATGGACAAAATGGATGGATTCACCATGATTCACCAGTTTTTTTTATGTTTGTTAGTGTTTGTTGGTTTAGTTTCACCCAACTGCTTCGATATATTCACCCGCTTAACTGTGCTTAAATATACCAGCACCATGGAGCATATGGGATAAGGATCAACATGGTGGTCTCATCAGGGTCAGAGCCATCTCAATAGATGGAATCGCCGATCCGAGGTTTATTTTCCATCGTTTCGCCTGTCTTCTACAACGACACGGGCCTTGCCACTTGCCACTTACGACTTTTTGGGCAAAAATGGATCAAGAACTTTTCTGAAAGATGTTTACTGTGTTTGTATTTCTGCACTTCTTGCAAGCGTTTTGGTCGTGGCATGTCGTGGCTCTAGTTGTTGCTGCACTTGACGTTTCCCTTTTAGGCTGTGCTTAACATTAGACTTGCAAACGTTTATCGGTGCTTATGTACTGACATTGTAGTCTTGGATGATCCCAATTGACTAGAATTCTTGCGCCGTGAACTATGATGCCATTCATCAGTTTTGGTTCCTACTGTTTGGTGATATTATGTTATATTATTGATTGGTAGTTACTATTTGCTTATATTTGATTGGTAGTTTTGCATAGTTTTGCTACTTTTTAAACTACAGCCCCTGGAGCTTTGGTCGCTCAGAAATGTCGGACGTCCGAGGCCCCTTTCGAGCAGATGGTTGCCTTGAAACTGGGCTCAATCTGCTAGTGACACGGATTGCTAGTAAATCCTAGTAAATCCATGTAAATCCTCATATGATATACCTATTCCTGAGGAGTTGTTGATAGTGTCTATTTTTCCTGATAAATCAGACATCCCAAGTTCCTTCCGTGGTATCCGCCCAGGGCTTCCACCTTGATGATCGCTTTGCTTTCCGGGGCCTGTTGCGGTGTCGCCATGAAGGTGCCAAAAGGAAAATCTCGACGGATGTTGCTGCTGTTTAAAGGTAACATACAAAAAACCATGGAACATCACCATTTTTAATAGGTAAATCATCTATAAATAATCCAGTTTAACTAACATAACTACTGGTTGGTGGTTTCAAACATGAATTTTATTGTCCATAATATATGGGATAATCATGGATAATCCTTCCCATTGACGAACTCATATGTTTCAAGATGGTTATTGCACCACCAACCAGGTTTTGTTGTGCTGTTGAATGTCTTGTATAACTTGGTTGCCAAAATCGACGCACTTTTTTATCAGTGACACAGACCTTGTTTGGTTGATATATCCAGGATTTGGCACGATTTGGACTTAGTTGACCTTGATTGTCGCTGCTCATTTGTGTTGACAACACAAACTAAGACTCAGAGTTCTTCGAATCAGATAATTCACCAAGCACGCATGTTTCTCCAAATAAATTGAGGGCCCCCATTTAAACATCACACATCAATTTCACGGTGTTACACAGCATAAGCTTTTAAGATTGTTTAAGAATCATTCGCTATTGTACGTATAAGTAGTATGTAAAATGTTCACATATATATAAATATAATGTATCCATATGACGTTGTATATTTTATCATAATATATCATATAGATATGATCTGTTTCGCCCACATGGGGGTTTCCTTTACAGCCTTTTGTGACTGACCGGGCTATCTCTGACAAATCCAAGCTGTAGGCCATTGAGCAGCTTCATGACGACAAAGAGCCGCAGCTTCAAAAATCAACCAATTTGGTGGATCCAATGGGTGGGATACAATCGGGATACAATGGGGGGATTTCACTCTGAAAGATAGAGATCTAACTTGATTCAAAGATTTGTGCTGTGTGGCTTTGTCTGAAAATAGGTAGTAGAGCTTGGAACCCCATACTGTAATGAAAATGAATTATACACCCATTGTATTCCTCTCTTAAATGAAACTTGGAGGGAAGGGGAGTCATACTGAATTTTCATTTTAAATTCATGTGTTTCAATCATTTTTTCGCAATGATCAATATTTTTTCGTCATTCCATGTCATTAGGGGTATCATCCCTCCAAGAATTGCGCTGCCATCATCATATTCTAACCAGCGCTAGGCTGGATCATCATTCCAGGGTTTCCAAACCAAAAAAATGAATTTAAGAAAGGGTGGTTTTGCGCCCCCCCTGACAGAGAGATAGATCGATAGATGGATAGACCGACAGACAGACAGACGGACAGACAGACAGATAAATAGATAGATAGACAGATAGAGATCACGATAGAGATCACGATAGAGATCACAACAGAGATCAAAATTATTAGAGATCAAGATAGAGATTAAGACAGAGATAAAGACAGAGATTAAGACAGAGATCTAGATAGATAGCTAGATAGCTAGATAGCTAGATAGCTAGATAGCTAGATAGCTAGATGGATAGATAGATAGATAGATAGATTAGGTAGGTTAGATAGGTTCGATAGATTTGATAGATTTGATAGATTAGATATATTTGATAGATTTGATAGATTTGATAGATTTGATAGATTAGATAGATTGATTAGATAGACTAGATAGATTAGATAGATTTGATGCATTTGATAGATTTGATAGATTTGATAGATTTGATAGATTTGATAGATTAGATAGATTAGATTAAATTAGATTAGATGAGATTAGATTAGATTAGGACAGATAGATACAGAAAAATACAGACAAAAAGTGGACACAGAGCCTCAGACACAGAGACAAGAGTGGGCATTCGGGTTGGTGGTTTGGACTTGGTGGAAATTCATGTCGTTTGTCTCTTATCTACTGACTCGTTTGTACTGTACCTGTTTTATTTGCGTGGTGCTCTTTATTACTTACACAAGAGTCCGGTGCTTAAATTCTTACATCCAAAACCCAGGCGCAACGACGATAATATGTTATTTGGATTTATGTGGCGCAACATTTTGTGTCAAGGTGTGGTGATGCCTTTTGAATGTTTTTTTGAGCTATACTGCGTTGTTTCCGCGTGTATGTCGCAAGCATTCCACAAATCAGGACTTTCAGCCTGGCCGCGCTTTCCAGCAAGTTTTAAATTCCCGCGCATGCAGATATCATATAGAATGCCAAAAATTTTGCCAGAATAGATGCCGAATAGATGCCAGATAGAATGCCAGAACGAGTGCCTGGAATAGATGCCAGAAAAAACAGAATATATTCTTGATAGAATGCTTGAAAGAATGTCATAATACATGCCAGACAGTTTGCCAGACAGAATAGATGCCAGATAGAATGAACCCAACACAGGATCGTGTGCAGCGGGCATATATGAAAGTTACAAGCTGAGTGCTTTGAATCGGAACGACCGATTGAAATTTCCAGGTTTTTCCAGCCAAGTGCACACCTTTTAGCATCAAGTTTTTCTCCCAATGATTCGGGTTGTCACTTTACAGTTGCCATACCACTGAAGAGTTTGGTTCTTGAGATGATATGGGAAACCAAATCGGAGACCTTCAAAGCTATTCCAAAAGACCAAGTTTAACCCCTTCCCTCTGACATTAATTTACTGTAATCCTTCCAGAAGCAATGGGTTTTTGTATTCACCTTCGAAATCATGACTTCACAGTGTTTCTTAGGATTTGCGCACAGCTGCAGCCAGCATTGGGTTGAACCCCACTGATTTGCGCATCGAGCCTTACAGCGGCTCGGTTCGAAAAAGCGTTTTGTTATGCGTTTGAGTTGGTACAGGTTTGTACCAAGTGTCTCAAAAAAAGTGGACCAACTCTAGAAAAATGGATCCTTGAAGACATTTTGATGATCCTTAAAGTGTGTTTTTCTTGTCTAACGATTCTTGAAGCTGGTCCACATACAACGGCACCGTCTGAAGCTACTGTTTTGAGTGTTTGGACAGTGAGGTGATGCGGCTTGGTGGACCGGAGAGGGTGAAGGCCCAGTGATTCAGCAGCCTAGCTGCAGATCAGACTGCGAAATGGTGGAGAAAATGGGGGTTCACACAAAAAAATGCACCAACTACATCGAACTACTAACTACTACATGCACCAAGTGATTTTTGTTGATGTTATCTTTAACGTATATATACATACATACATACATACATACATACATACATACTGCAAATCTACTGGGGAGATTTCCTATCCCACACCAATGAAGCACCCTGTGACTCCTGCCTGTGTTGTCCCCAACACTGAATAGCCCCTGGCTTTTCCGTAGCACTGCCTGTGACTCGATCCTCACCCACCCACCTCTGTCGGTGGATAGATGTTGAAGACAAAAGGATGGGCGAGCGGACGGCGAGATGCAGCAAAACTGTATGGCCCCTTGTGGTTCAGCATGGATGAGAGGTGTTCGGAAAATCACACTCATCAAAATCCAAAATTTTAAGAACTTTGTTCATCTTTACTCTCATCCATGCCCTTGTCCTTAAATCCCTCACGTAGCCATTGAAGTTTCTCTCGCTTGGAAGCTCTCAGGCGCAAGCTTTCACCTTCATCAAACAGAGTATACTGACCCGACTGTAAGCATTCCCTCAACATGCTTGCCTCCATACTCTTGGTCAAACAATCAGCGAGCATGGCCTGAGTACTTATCCAACGCATCGCCACGTTTTCTTGCAAACGCTCTCGAATTAATAAACATTCTAGGGTGGTCCTGTACTCGGCGCATGTTGGGACTGCGTTCTTCGTTGCTATGTCGTACACGCTCTTGCAATCAGTCACTGCACTGGCTAAAGTTGCACCTTTCAAAAGTTGACTCGGATCAGACCAGTCAATGGATGGATTTTTCAGCCATTCCCAGCATACCCTGATAAACCCTAGTCGGTCCAGAGATGAACTCAAAGCAATTGACTCTGCACTCAAAGTGGAGGTGACTACCCTGGGTATTCTTCTTGAGCTCCAGGCAACCGGACACACTACTGTCCGCTGATTCCGAGCCAGATTGACATCGGTTGCAAAAATCAGCGTTCCCTGGCGGGAGGACAAGTCTTTTGAACTGGAGAAGGACGCATCACTGAAAGCACAAAAGGCAACCAACTCTTCTTGGATGGGGACCATCATCAAACAAACTGGATGTTTCTTACCCTCCATCAAAACTCTATTGGCTTCCAGCAAGTGCTTTACCTTCGCCTTTGTCACTATGGATTGGAGCATTCCTGTTTTAGCCGACAGGTCCGGCCGGGTGTGCACTGCGGCATATTGAAGACTGCCGCACAGTCTCCTGAGATGTTGTCGCTCCATTTCTGTTACATCCGCCTCTAGCTGAGACCTACGAGACCTTCCAACATCAATTGGCTCAATCTTCTGAATATAGTCAACCTGATTCATTTCTATGGAGCTGTCATCCCATTGTTTGTAGTGGACACCGCAGAAAGTAAACTCCTTTTCATAATATGCCCCAAAATCATAGATGCCCCTCAGTTTTTGGATAACCGACTCAAAATAAGAATCCCCAGCCCCAATACCATCATCCACATGAATACCCAGAACTCCCCTTACCCTTGGTTCTCCTTTGGGTCCCGGTGTGACCAAACTGAAGAGGCATCCATCAAATGGACATGCTATGAATCCCAGAGACTCCAGTGTTGCCCTTAGGGCTTGGTACCACAAAAATGGTGCATCCACGCGCCCATAGGCGCCTCCTTCTAAACTGCACTGATCACCTTCTTTCATCTTTAAGGCATGCCGGATCTCTGGTGGAGCATGGATTCCTAGCGGCCGACCATCACCGGCACCTTTAAGAAACGCCGTGGAGATGTCAAAATTTATCAGTGTCCATCGGCGACTCGCTGCTTTTTGCAGCAGAAGCTGTCGGGCATCTTTGGACAGTGTCGGCGCATCGTTGGGCACAATCCCCACTCCAGGGTCTTCAAAACCCAGGATGACCAACCTTGCTTTGGCCCTCTTTTCTGTCATTCCAGGTAGGGGGTCCTTCCAAGTTAACAGCCAACGACACCGCATCACTTGCTCTGGCTTTAAAGACCCCTTTGTCAGCTTCTTCACAGTACCGTGATCCAGCCATGCCTTGACTTCCTTTTGCTTGGCAGCATCAAACAGCTTTTGATCATGAGGAGTCATCCTACGACAATCTAGTTCAACACGCTTCTTTCTTTCGTTGGTCGCCAAGCAGATTTCCTCAAAGGCAGAGGGCTCGCTGCAGAAAAACGCCGCTGTTTCAGATTCGTATACATGATCTACCAATTCAACTTCCCAAAGAACATCATTTTTCCGGAAATCCCCACAATCATCCCCAAACCAAGATTCCTCATCCCCATCATCAGGAATTGGTACAAATCTACCATCATTTTCTTGGACTTCTTCAGGGTTTCCAGGATTACTTTCGGGAACTTCCATTTCAGATTCCATGGGATCACTCCTTTCATCAAAACCACTCCCACTTGTATCTTGAGGGAATTGTTCCCTTTCCGGCTGACTTTCAAGAGGAGTGGTGGGAGTATATGAGAATTCTGACGCTGCCCCTCTTTCCACTGGACCAGGTGCAAAATCAACAGCTTCAGGAACACCCTCCAACTCAACATACCCCCTTCCCTGTGGTTTCTCATCAATCACATTTCCTTCCGTGTCTCGTGGCAAGTGGGCAAACTCACGAAGTGACGCTGGCCGCAACTGCTCCGGACTTGCTCGAATTATCCGTCCGAGATGGCTCAACCAAACAACACGAGGATTCTGATTGGCTATTACCTGGGCGGGCCCATGCCACCTTCCCCTCTCAAGGCGGTTGTTGCCCCTAGAACTACGCCAATACAGCACCCAATCCCCAGCTTCATATTCTATCCTTCCCGGACGGCTTTGTCTGAGCAAAGCCCGACGAAAGGCTGAGTCGTTGTCCGCCTGTACAAAGGCTTTTCGGGCCTGTTCCCTGCGCAGCAAGTTCTCTTTGAAACGGATCCCTTCCGGCAGAGTGCTCTCAGCAAGACAGTGGCTCCCTGCCTCCGCATCGGAGACTAACGAGCCTGGCAGATGGCGGCTCTTTCCCAAGAGACATGCTCGGGAGTGAACCCATGCACACGGCTAAGAGAGTTCTTGGCTGCAAAAGCTTGGCGAAGGCATTGGGTGAATTCATCGGCTGTTTCAATGGGCCGCTCCTTCTCCATCCGAGACAGCATGTCCTTGACTAGCCTACCGTGAACTTCGGCCCTCCCATTCTGCCAATGAGATTCTGCGGCCGTCATTGAAACTCGGATGCCCTCACCTTGCAACATTGCAGCCCAGGCATCATTGACATATTCCCCAGCAGGGTCCAAGTAAAGTGTCTTACAAGGACCAGCCCATTGAACCCAGCTATTGAGGAAAGTTTTGATTTGATCTTCTACTTTACGAGCACTCAAATTCCCGACATGGTACAAGGTTGATTCATCAATGAAATGCATGAAGTGAAAGGTCTTTCCCGAGGAATTTGTCCAATAAGCCCCATCAGCTCCCACAACATCGTTGAAATCAAGATCATCGTGAATCCTACCAGGTTGTGATTTCTTGGGTCGGGATTGAGTTTCTACACATGTATCACAACACATATCCCGTACCCCAGCTATAACCTCAGGTTTGGCTCCACGTTCGGTCAGAAACTTTACCATCTTTTGGGGGTCTGGGTGTCCCAAATTGTTATGGACCCTCCTAAGTTCAGCCCTCTCCCCTGCTCCCAAACGCAAAAATGCAGGTCCCGATTTGGTGGTGATCTTTGGAGCCCATTCCTCCATGAATCTTTCTGACCGTGGATGATCCATCACCTGATCCGCATTTGGTGGTTTCGGATCGACACCGAGCGGTTGAACACTCTCCGGAGCCTGCACCACGGAACTTTCAGTTCCTGGCTCTTTCACGTCCATTGGAGAAGTATCGGGAACTGGCAGAGACATTTCAGCCTCTGACTTCTCATCACGGCCGGCTTGCTTAAATATGGCCCCAAATGGCTCATTTATATCATCTTTCCGGCCAAAAATGGACAATGATAATTTGGCGGGTCCAGTCGATCGAATTTGTCTCATGCGTGACAACCCTGTCCAGTTTTCAGGGGGCCCCAAATCTTTTACTTCCCCAGTACCCCTTTCAACCACTACTGTCTTCCTCCATGGCAAAACCTCGGGAAACACATCGGCTGGTTGGATCCTGTGACGATCCGTTCCGCGACAAGCAACAACCAATTCAACCTTGATGTCCGGCACCACCTGTTGGACCAACTTGACAACCATATCACCAGAACCCTGAAAACAGGCATTCCCAACCCTAGGAGTGGAATAGCCAACAGTTCGAAAAATATCTTTCCAAGATGGTGCCTTCCCATACAAGGATGTCTCTGGTTGTTTCAGCTCTACACGACGCCGCTTCAGCTGCAGAGACTCTTGTGCCATTTCGGGTCTTTCATGGGCATCCAGTCCTAGAACTAGTTCCCCCAGAATCAAAGGTACTTCAGGGTGTTCACATTCCCACCACAAAACTTCAACCACTCGGCGCGCAAAGTGTGTGGTGTATGTTTGTGCATACGAGGATATGTTTCGCCACTTTCCCAAGTGTTTGAACTGTCCTTTAATGTGGGCATGATCATGGTTTCCATGGCACATGTGATCATGAAGCGTTTCAAAAACCATTCGACATGATGTGAACACCTGTGTCCGTTTCTGAAGAAACTGGTTTGTTCCTGGCAATCTAAGCTTCCCAACTTGGCACATATCAAACGTTGATGGCAGCGTTCCCAAGCGAACATCGTTGAGCTCAGCCTGCATGATCATCTCGGATCCACGAGGTTGCTCCAGGTGAAAATGCCTTGAGTTACTCATTTGATACAGATACAGCTGATTGCATAACACCAAGTGTGGCCTATCAGCGTCTCTTCGTTGTTGAATGTTTTCACATGACTTTGGATCTTTCCCCATGTTATATCTCGAAAAGTTACCCCATAGCTTGCATTCGGGTGCTACCCAGATGTGTTCAGGTTCATACAAATAGACCCAGGACCACAATTTACTTCTCCCCTCTTCGGTGCTTAGATCCCCATCTTGAACCGTAAACCTGAGAGAATTACCCCCCATGTTTCTCATTTGTGTGGTTAATTGGGATCCCTCATCACAATAGATTTCCAGAAGATGGAGTTTTTGTTGGTGTCCTTGATCCTTCCCTTCTTTACCCCCTGACACAACTTTCATATACCGACGATTGGACTTGAGAATCTTTTCATGAGTGACATACGCCTGATCGCATCTTAAGTTAGCCAAATCAAGTTCTATTTTGTTGGATATCTTTTGGATCTGATCATGCACTTGCAACCCTCGGCTCACTCCTTGTTGGATGGTTCTCCCTTGGTCTCCTTGTCCAACTCGCGCTGCAGAATGGCGATCTGTGCCCTCAACTGCGCCACCTTCTCGACATTGGGATTCATCTCCATGGCCTTCTCGGTCTGAGGCACCGAGCGCTTGTGATTCTTGGACTCCGTTGGAATTGCAGTCTGCACCGGAATGTTGATCCACCCCTCGTCTGCTGGTGCCGACGAATATCCCTTCTTCTGAGCCATCGCCATGGGCTGAGTTGCCTTTGTCATTGCCACTGGCGCCGCATTGGATGTCTGGGTTGTCACCGGACTTGGCATCCCTGTCGTCTCCACTTCTGGATGAAGACGTCGATGCTCCGGACTTGAGGCTCGGCGCTCTCTGCAGTACAGCTGAAAGCTTCTCACCCATGTTGAAACTGCTCTGCGACTCCAGAGCTGATTGACATAGCCCCTCTCGTTCTCGTAGAGATCTGCGAAGGTTCGAGTCGCATGTTTGCCCGATGGAGCCTTGGTTCGTCCCCAATCGGTCAAGGTGTTGATGCCCGGTGGGCGTGTCAACACCGGAGGGAACTCGTCGTGCTGCTGATTCACCTGGAGGCTCCCATCGACTGGTGTCGTGAGCTGACGGTCCAGATAGCTGTGCATCACGATGTTGGCCATGATGCTCAGCACTCCGAGGCTGGTCAACTCCACTTTCAGGGCAGGCTTGGTCACTCACCACGGCTGCTGAGACGGTGGTGGATGATTGCTCTGAACTTTTACCTTGGACCACATTAACAACGTCTTCCTTAGGAAGCAGGTCATGTTGAATTCGTCCATGATTCAGGACTTCATGCATTTGGTGGGTCTCTGTGATCTTCTCAGTTTCGGTCGTTTCCGTGTGTGCACTGAGGATGTGTGTTGGTGACGCACTCACTTTTGGGGCCTTCTGCAACAATTCAACAATTTTGATTCCCATTAGATTTTTCCGCACCATTGTCAAAGGAATCCAAACATCACTCCCTTTAAAGCCCAGACAACACCCCTCTACATCAATGATCCCTTTGAGTCCCCTTGGTACTGCATTGGAAATCAAAAATGGAGTGTGACCCGGCACTACTTCTACTCTCAACCACCCATTTTGAGCCCTCGGAAGCATCACTGCGAAGCTACTCGCCAGGCGACCAGCATTTCCAAATTTGAAAACAACACCTTCAGTAGGAACCCTCATGACTTTCGACCTGAGATCTTTAGGCAAACTCCTAATCAGTTTCTTCAGTCTCTCATGGCCGATCACAGCCCGACTGGCTCCTGTGTCAATGATGGCTTCATCATCGGCTTCTTCTGTTGCAAAAATACAACAGATGTGGGAGCCACCTGGACACTTGTCAGAGATGGTTTCTCCCTTGGAGAATTGGATGGTGGAGTGGTCTCTACAGCAGATCCGGTGCTGAGAACGTCATGTTTCCTACAGCATGTGGTGAGACAGGATGTGAGGGATTGTGTTAGTGCAGAAACACTCACTAAGCAATCATAAACAAACCCCTGAACAACCCCAACTTGATCACCTCCGTTAATCCAATCCCCTTGAGGTATATTCAAAATTTGACCCTTTTGATTCCCGTCCTCCTCATATGCCACTGCCTCCTCTGGAAGCTCTTCCACGACGTCGCCGCCCCATTTCAGATCATCACCAAGTTCCATGGACGCCTTCTGCACCTCTTCGTGAAGGATGCCCGTGAAGGATTCAGTCTCGTAGGCCTTTTTGATTCCAGAGCTACTCATCGAAGCTGCTGAAGAGGATGTGGTGGACAATGGACACTCCCTCTTCCAATGTCCCGGCTGTCCACACTTCCTGCAATTCGAATTGGCTATTCTGTCTGCAAGACTACGACGACGGAAATTGGCCTGCTGATTGGAGCTCATGTTTCCCTTGCTGGACGCCCCAAACTTCCCTTTCTTGCCCTTGGTGCGTCCCTTGCCACTTCCCAACGGCCAAAAGCCTCTTGATTTGGCCTTGTCTCGAAGGCGTTGACGTGCCTCTTGGTAACTGGCAAAGCACGGTGCTAATTCTGCCGATTCTTGACAAGCCGTCAGGATGGCCTCCTCAAAGTCATTAATGAAGACCGCGTCCTCATCACCAGCCTCCAAAAGACTTTGAAGAAAGATGTCCTCCTCGATGTCCTCCTCCGATTCTTGATACATGATGGTCTCTTCCTCAGTCTGATGCACGTCATAGGTCTTGTACTTGACATTGTTCTTGGAGTTGGACTGCAAGTCCTGAAAGAATCGACTTCCAAGAAGTCTCATACTTTTCCTCGCCTGATCATATGTCAATGACCCCGCACAGTCCAGGATCACCTTCTTCCTGTCTTCAGTCTGCAGAATCGACTGTCGCACCAGGATGTATGCCCTGACCTCTTCGATGGTCACCTTGGCCGAGAGGAGGTCCTCAAAGGATGCATCATGCCGAGCCAGGTATGAGTCGTTCGACTCATCTGACTTCTGCACCGTCTGATACAGCGCCTTTTCGAACATGTCGTAGCGCTCCTCACTGGCCAGTCTTCCCCATGACCCACCGAGCGCCTCCACCGGAAGGCGAACACCATCTTTTGATTTCAGCTTGGCCGGATCCATCCTTGATACCTTTTGAAACGCCACCCCCTCCACAAGGAGGGCAGCTCGGGGAGCCAACTGCTCCACATAGTCAGCCGGCCAGAGCTCACGAAGGAACTCTAGCTTCCTTCCATAGACCTTGACATCGGTCTCACCCGGGATGAATTTGGGGATCTGGTTCCACGGCACCGACGTTGGATACCCCCCGGATCCCGCTGCTTGCGCAGCTTCACCTTCCATGGCCACGCGACCTACGGTGAAGCAAATTGTCCTAGGCCTGTCAGTGACCCCACTTACCTAGAACCTTGCGGCAGCCCAAAGCTCCGCCTACCAATGCAAATCTACTGGGGAGATTTCCTATCCCACACCAATGAAGCACCCTGTGACTCCTGCCTGTGTTGTCCCCAACACTGAATAGCCCCTGGCTTTTCCGTAGCACTGCCTGTGACTCGATCCTCACCCACCCACCTCTGTCGGTGGATAGATGTTGAAGACAAAAGGATGGGCGAGCGGACGGCGAGATGCAGCAAAACTGTATGGCCCCTTGTGGTTCAGCATGGATGAGAGGTGTTCGGAAAATCACAATACATACATACATACATACATACATACAACAAAAAATAATGTGAATGCGTTGTCCCGATGAATCGGTTTTGGCCTGGCCACGGGTCAAATTGTGTCCTGAGGCTTTGAGGGCGAACCTGAAAAGCGCTTCCTGACTTCGCATGGCGAACAAAAACCTCGCCTTCATTGGAAGTCCTGCTGCAAAGATGGTTGGACCAAATTGAAAGGAAGTAGATAGGAACTTGGGAGCATCAAAGTGCATGCCCTAAGTATCGCGAGTTGCCAGCCCCAGTATCAAATGTACAGTGTATCTCAGATTCTGCAAAGTGGATCACTGATGGGCCAAAAAACGGAACCACTGGTTCCTGCTGAAAGTCTGAAGATGTCTGAAGTAAGTATAAGACACATTGTATGATACTGTACGCGTCAAAGGCAAACGCACTTGCCATGTTGACCCAGAACATAGAAGGCATTGAGCACCTGCTGAACCCTGATCCACGTCCAACAAGGGGGTTCTCTGAAACTGGCGTCTACCATGATAAAATTTGGCAAAATAGCTATGTTTGAACCATTTTTCCATGGAACACAGATGAAGGATGAACAACTATGAACATCTATGAACATCCCGGCGGGTTGTTTATCGAACCCGCGTTTTCAACGTTTGCAGTGTTCGTCATTGATTTCATACCACAAATCACAGTGGTTTTGCATCTCTCTCAAAGTTCAATTTCCTTAAAAAGTACGCGCGTACTTTTCACTGGATATGTAAAAAACCTCAGCGGCACTCTCTTTTTTTCTGCGCTAAGTGTTCTTCACAATTTCTGCAGTGAGCTTGGAGAGGTTTTTGTGGGAACTGTTTTCCCATCTCCACTGCCAAGCGCGAACATGCGTCCAAATCTTGCCATTGAGCAAGACTAACGTAGACTAACGTAGCATCATATATGTGAGGAAGTACAAGACGACATACAGTAGCGTCACATCATGTATGTGAGGAAGTGCAAGACGACATACAGTAGCGTTGCATCATGTATGTGAGGAAGTGCAAGACGACGTACACTAGCGTATATAGAATCATATATGCGAGGAAGTGCAAGACAACGTACAGCAGCGTAGCATCATGTATGTGAGGAAGTGCAAAAAGACGTACAGCAGCGTAGCATCATGTATGTGAGGACGTGCAAGAAGACGTACAGCAGCGTAGCATCATGCATGTGAGGAAGTGCAAAAAGAGGTACAGCAGCGTAGCATCATGTATGTGAGGACGTGCAAGAAGACGTACAGCAGCGTAGCATCATGCATGTGAGGAAGTGCAAAAAGACGTACAGCAGCGTAGCATCATGTATGTCAGGCAGTGCAAATGAACGTTATTACCCTACCCCACCCCACCCCACCCCACCCCGTTAACCCCATGAAAGATATAGAAACATGCAAAACGCTGGTTCGGTTTCCAACCCGTAGGCATGAACATCTATGAACATCTATGAACATCTATGAACAACCATGGGAGTTTGGCGTGTTTCCCCAAATTTTCAGGTGCCAATCATACAACTTGGCACACAGCCCCTCAGACAGATCACAGGCCCACAGCGCGTGGGCCGAGCGCTTTTGTCGCGAGGTGCCACGGACCACGTGAGCAGTTTTACCGCCGCCTGTGTAGGAATTCAAAGGGAAATGAATCATCAAACATATCCTATGAGAAGGCAATTTCGATAATTGGGGTACAACAAGCTAGCACTCGATGGATGAATACGTTATAAATGCCGTTTTTTGGCGTATAAACATTTACCATTTGGTGTTCACCATGGGTACGGAAATCCTGACCCATATTGTTTTGATTTTTCTGGTCCTTTCAACATCTTTCAACGATTTCAGCTGTGAGAGGTTGGTGCTCCCTACACCAACTGGCCCAATTCAAAGGTGCGCCCAATAATTGGGGTGGTGAATGTGGTGAAAATTGGTGATAAATGGGATCTTGGGGTACCCAATTTTCAGAGAAACCAACTGCTGGTCACCGGGGGGATGAGCAAAAAAAATGTGTAGGTCACAGGCGATTTACATCTTCAGCAAGGGTCAAGATAGTCAAGAAGTATGGGAGAATTTTTCGGGCCAGGCACTGTCACCTTGATACATACTTAAGTTACTTAACTTTTTGAGTGGAGAATCCTACTGACGAGATGTTGGAACAAGAGTTGGTGGCTGGTTTAACCATGAGGTGTGGCTTGGTCAAAAAAAACCCAATGCCGCCTTTTTTAAAAATGTGTATCCGTATCCATTCGTTTAAGGTGATTACCCCAAACATCCCCAAACGATATGGCATTAAGAAACCACAGTCACGGGGGTTGATGGTGGCCTTCTTATTTGGCTGCCTTTGACACACTTCGCAGGTTCCTGAGCGGCGACTTCGAATTGGGTGCGCCAATCTGCTGCCTCTGAGACCATCAGGGGGAAAACATCAGTCTCTGAGTTGGACAATCACCATCTTTAATAGGTAAATCAACGAACTAAATGTACCATTTTCAATAGCTATGTTAAATTACCAGAGGGTAGAAGTTGGATCTCTTTGGCCATAGAGGACCAACATGCACCAACTATGATGCCCACTTGGCAACGTATCTTAGATCAGCAATGGATTTGAGACTGCAGTTTGAACCTGCCCAAATCCCGCCCAGTTTCTGTATGTGAGTGAAAAAATGTTTAAAAAATGCTATGAATGGTGAGAACTTCATAAACTGAACAGATAAGGATTGGAAATGTTTGGAATATAGAATATTATATATATAATATTATGTTATATATATATATTATATGTATAGATCCCAAGTATGGAAAGCAGATTATGGAATATCCCCAGCTATTTTCGACGGCTGTTAGCCAATCCGATTCCGCCGGGCCGTGTGTTCTCAGACTTGCTGAGTCGATGATTTTTCGCATCGCGTTGACTGGACAATTTCCCAACAAGAAATCCACGTGGCGACTGGGTACCGGTAATCTTGTGGGACAACCTGTTTTGTTTCTGACATGGTTCATAAATGTTCATAAGTTACATAAAGCAGGCTGGGAATAGTGACCGTCTGGTGTCAGACGTGGCTGGAAAATCCTCAAACTAGCCATGGAGGTTTCTAGTTGGTAGGATCATCGAAGTAAAAGGTTGATTTTCCAGCAAACCATGTTTGATTACCGGAGGGTATCTATGTTCAGGGATTCGTTATAGCAGTTGTTGAGCCTCGAAAGATACTTGTCAAAAATTGGGGTATCATGATGTTGGGGATATTATGGATCTGTCTGAAAATAAGGTTCCAATGGTGTAACATTGTCCCCATTGAAATTGCCATTTTGGAGGTATACCCCATTTTCAGACAAACCCATATCTTTGAATGCCAATTATATCTTGTGGTGGCTTGAAGGTCTAAGAACATGACACCGCAATCCATAAATATATTAAACTATGTAAATAGGTAACTACGACAGGACCAAATGTCAGCAGATGTTATTCGCAATCAGAACTAGCCTGCAAGGTCTTGGAACCGCGCAGTGGATGCTGGACTGCAGCCATAGAGACCTTGCCCGAGCCAAGAAGCTCTTGCCAGAAATTTTCCGTCGATTCCTCATGGATACAAACCGATCAAAGCCATCCAAATAGATAACACAGAAATTCGAAGGGGTTCTTAGGCAAATCTGTCAGGATTTATGTTTTGTTTCAGGTACACGCCAGATATATCCAGATATCACGTCCATTTCAACCAGCAATGGAAGTGTGTTTCCTATCCGGCCAGAGAGTTGCAGTACTTGAGGCGGCTGAGTTCGAAGGGAAAACCACCAAGGCTGTGAAGCAAGCCTTGGCACCTAAGATTGGTGTCACCAGATTTAGACAAAGACTCTTTCTGGAAGGTGATGCTGTTGAGATCCCAGATGATAATGTCTTTACCTCAGTGCCTGAAAAGCTTCAGCTGGTGGTCTTGGAGTTTTGCCCACCAGATGTGGCAGAAGACGAGCAGATGATGGTTGCAGCAAGGGGCAACGATACAGTTGGCCTTGAACAGTTGCTGAAACGCCCTCAAAATCCGAACACACGAGATGAGTGCATGACACCCTTGCACCATGCTGCAGAACATGGACATGTTGAGCCGATGCGGCTGTTGCTGGAGGCAGGTGCAGAGATAGATGCACAACGCGAAGAAGAGGAGATGGCCCCCTTGCACAATGCAGCTCACATGGGCCACCTTGAGGCAGTGCGTTTTCTGGTTCAAAATGGTGCACAGAAAGATCTGACTGACATCTATGGGTCAACATCATTGCTATTGGCGGTTGAGCACAACTTCGTCGACATTGCTCGCTTTCTTGTGGCTGAGGGAGCCGACAAGGAGCAGCTCTTGAATTGCGGAAGTACATTGAGCCGTGCAGCTGAATACGGTGAATTGGACATGGTGCGCTTCCTAGTCGAAATTGGTTGTGACAAGGACAAGACCGACAATTTTGGGAAAACGGCGCTGCATCGAGCAGCTGCAGAAGGCCATGTGGACGTTGTCCGCGTCCTTGTGGAGTCAGGTGCCGATCGCCATCTCCTCGACATCTCTGAAAAGACTGCTCTGGATGTGGCGTCCGAGAATCGGCATGCGGACATTGTTGGTTTTCTGTCTCACTTTGAGGCAGAATCACATCGGAAAGTGCGTAGATTGAACACACCCGAACGTTGAAGGTGATGGAACAACATGTGCTGGGAATTGCGGGGGTTCTGACATTATTCTTGGGTTGATGGGAATTGAAACCGGTATCTTCAATCCAACTCCAGTTCTGGGCGTTGAATCAAACTGAATCAAACCCTGCCATCGTGTTGGTGACAGCCCCTTCTTTCTAGCAACAACACCTTGCGAGTCTCAGCAATGAGTCCAAATCTCCTGTTAAACTTAGCTCTTGTTGAGCAGTTTCAGGAACCCCACTTGGTTGATGACCCTTGGGGGCTCTGTTACCAACATCAACATGGATTATCATCACCGGTGTCGGAATCGACAAAGCCATGCGATTGGCGATTTTCAAACAATAATGCAGGTTGAAATTCGGGTCCGCTTGGGCGGGCTTCACAGATCTTCAATTTCCATGGTGTTTCTATCCAGATTCCTTGCTGGGTTCCAATTGTCATTTTGATTTGATGTGTGAAGCCCTTAATGTTTTCCCTGATGAATCGGTTATTGTTGAAGCAAATCTGACCCTCAATCGATATGGAAATTCCACCATGTGTACATCGTTTCGCAATCGGGTTTTCCACATCCATGTTGCTTTGCTGGAGAGTAACCACCACACAAGTCCTCCTTTGCACCCAACACCTGCAGGTGTTCCTTGCTTCACCAGGATCGAAGTATACTATAGATCCAATCAAGCGTCTTTCGAATTTTCTTATGATGCGACTACGCAGTGACGCCAGGAGTGCGTAGACAATGACTAGTGGATACGATATAACATTTAGATTGTACTCTGGTTGAAGCCATCAAAACCGAAGAAAACAGTTTGTTTACGTTTACGGCACCAAATTACTAATTCCCCACAGTTGTGACCCTATTTTTGTCTTTGGCTCTTTTTCAGAATATTTTCAGAATCAGATGGTAAAACTCCAACAGATTTCGGATCTGAATCGGACTGGCTTTCTGGCGGTGACTGCCATAGGGACACTGGAAGCGCCAAAAAAAGGTGATGCGCTTCACTTCAGTTCATGATGTTTCTCCAACTAACTGAATTTGGACCTCAGAATTTATGTCATTTTTTGGGCGGACAACAACTTAACTCACTCTTTTGAACGATGGTGGTTATCAGCCAACTCATTCAGCAAATCTTTTGGGTCACACTTTGAAGCGGACGTCCACCAGGTACATCTCACCGGATTTTTTCCATCACTCAGTCGGGAAGCCCAGTGATTGGTGAGTGCTTCGGAAACTGGTTGGTGGTTTGGAACATGGCTTTTATTTCCCCAATACTTGGGATGATCCAATCTGACTAATATTTTTTAGAGGGGTTGAAACCACCAACCAGGAAATGTCTATGTCGTGATTGATGTGATTGGCAGAATTGATCAATGGTTTTGATGATCGAAATATGGTAAAGGCAAGGCATGCGTTTTTTTTAAACGTCTCCCGTAAACCATCGTAAACCAATCCATTGAATCGAGACCCCACACAGTGTTCCAAGTTTTCAGCTTTTTTCGTTTCAGCAACGCGCGGCAAAATCCAGAACTATGACCAACTATGTCTATTATGACATTGTGAATGACTATGTTTGTGAATATGTCGCTATGTTTGTTGTTTATATTCGTTTATTATGTAAACTGCGACTAAAAATATCTAAGATTCTAAGAATGACATTAATAACACATTCATCGAATATCTAGAACATGTACTTGCGAAGGATATACCCAGCCGCGATTCTCGATGTCTGTGAGGTGTCCTTCTTTGTGCATGCTCTCTTGGAGCATGCCAACGAGGCCACGACACCCAGCAAATGTCCTGGTTGAAAACTTGTTTTTATTCCAAATGTTTCCTGATATGTTCATTGCAAGGGGGGAATACATGCTTGTCCACAGTCATTGAATTACTGGCTTTTCGAAGCTAACCTTCCCGCCACCAATTGGCGAGGTACTTCAAAACCATATTGGTGAATGTTGTATATGTTGCTAAACCATCGAGTTCATAGTTAAGTGAATTCTGATCCATCGATTACCAACTATGATTTCGAGTAAGATGGTATATCCTCTAATAGCTGATCGACATCTTGGGCGGTTAAACACCAATTGCCATTGGTAAACTTTCCATCATTATCTAAAGTGTCAGGTTTTAGAACGATTAAAAATACAGCCTTCTCCCAAGCTATTTGGCATGGTTGATGTGACCATGATGTGACGGGGTCGCATCGACTTCTCCCCATAGAAATTCTGTTGCCCCAAAAAAGTTGATGTGATTAAAGGCCTTCACTGTACCTGTAGACTGTAGACACGTCTATCAATCTAGCAGTCTATCTCTATCTCTCTCTCTCTCTTTCTCTCTCTTTCTCTGTACTTGCATGTGTATATATATATACATATATAACAGACACATATTATCATATACATACGATATGACATATTCTCCTCCCCCTTGCCATTTCCATGAATGAGAATACCCGGGTGTTTTTTTGGTGAATGGGAAGGAGGCGACTTTTTGTGTTGATTCTTCACCTACATTTTCCCCATAGATCACCCCTTGCCATGGTTTCTGACCAGGGAGGATGATCGTACCTCTAGAAGAGTGCCATAGGTAATGTTATTCTCCTACACAGCTTACCATGAAGAATATTGTATCAAAACAGGCCATCCTATGTTTTGCTGCCTTCGGAACAAAGTGTAGCCAGCAGATGGTACCAATTTACGCCTTACGCCATTACGCTGTTTTCTCCCAAATCGTCAGGAGCGGTTCGAGATCTTTATCTACTCCAATGCCACCAGGGAGGACGACAAGACCGAGCTGTTTAAGAGTATCGTGCCATAGAGCTCAGCCCATGGAAATCCCGGGAAAATCCGATGTGGGATGGGCAATTCCTGGCAGCCAACATGTTGGGACGGGCCCTTGAAAGTGATGCGCAATATCAACTTGACCCGGTAAAGGGTGCAGGGCTAGATATATAACTGATATAACTATATAATTATACAGTATATATAATTCATAATATAACTTTTGAACCTTCCCTTGCCATGAATAGAGCAAGATGAATGGCCATCCATAATTAGCACTGTTGGTTGAGGGTTGTATGGTACAAGAGCGTTCACTGCTGGCATCGCAACTGATTGTGATCCACCAGGGAGATGTTTGCCGGAAACTGGTTTCGATCTATTCACACTTCTATATGAGACCCAAATCATGTGATATGTGACACTATCTGATACTATCTATGGTGTAATATCGGAGTAATGTTATCCCGACCCAGTCCGCGGATCGTTTTTTCTGGCTGATCACCACCTGGCTCATCGCACAAGGCCACCCCAACGCTGGAGAAAGGTCGTAGGCCTGCCTGCCGTCGAGGCGCCGCCTTGCGATTTGAGCGAGAATGAACTGAAAAATATTGCAACAAAGAACATGGGAATGCGGTAAACCCTAAACCCTAAACCATCTCAAAAATCACCATAATACACAAACCATCCCCCCCTTTGATAGGTTTGCCGCTGGATTGCCCACATGATATTACCAGAGACAGTCTCTGGTTTCGATTGGTGCCATTGCGGTGATGTGTCCACCCATATCCACCCATATGCAACTGTTTTCCAAATGGAAGTTCCAAATCAGATTGAGATGTCTAAAATGTCCAAACAATGGTCCGAGATATTGGCACCTAGCCTTGTTCAATGGGATTGAGTCCTTGAACTGTTCTGGCACCAAAGATATTCTTTTCGTTGGTGCTCAGTCAGGCTGAAGTTCTTGCAGATTTAGCTCATCATATGCTCAACTTGTGGACCCCAAAAATGGATGGTTTCAGATCCTAAAGACTACCAATTTTCGGATGGTCCGTTGGTTTATTCCCCCAGTTTTGGGCAAACCCAGATCATCCATCTATTACTGATATTAACATCCCCATGTGTATGGCTTGATCTCCTTTTTTTGCGGATCAAACAACTTTCTTAAAGCCCTTAAACTCCCAAAGTATTGTTGGTCGAATCTCCATCTTACCGTTGATGTTGATGTTCCAAACGATTTTTCATGGGAGATGTTCCAAGCATGTTTGATGTTCCTTCCTGGTTGCCCCCTTGGTCGAAAAGTCGCAAACTCCGAAGGCCTGTGAATTGATCCGAGCGGATCAGATTGATATCCTGGTAGAGCTGGCAGGACGGGACTGCTGAAATGTCGCCCGAGCATCGGGAGTTGTCTCTTCAGCAACCCCAACAACGATATAACTATAATAGGACTAGGAATGATACTAGTAATAATACCACTAACTTATAATAATGATAATAGCAGTATTGATGAAAAAGTGTGACAATAACAATAATATATAGATACACTCTAAAAAAAGATAAAGGAGTTGTACGCCTAGAAAATATGGGGAAAACATCATCGAAGTGCCATCTGGAAGCACTTTTCTATTTTTGTGGAGGTTGCAATATTGGATACTGTACATCTCCCAGCCATTCCCTTAGATTTTGTAGATGTTTGTGGGAAGAATTAGTTCACTGGAAGTTGAACCTTTGGGTGGGGAGCTGGGAACAACCAAGGATATGTCTGGGTATCCAAAATGGTTTGCAAGATATTTGCTTTCTGAGTTTCGACTTATAGCAGTGAAAAACAGCCATTTTTCACTGCTTCAGGCGTCAAAATTGGAGACCCCAAAGCTACATAGATGGGCCCTGTTCGGCATTTCTGAGTATCTTGTTGTACCATTCACTGAATTTTGGAGCCAGTGCCCGAGATGATTTTTTGCCATACTCACTGGACCTACCCGAGATGAAAGCCAGGCAAGACATGCCTGCATTTGGGATATTTTGGGATATCTCATTGCAATTTTAAGGGTGACTTCTGTGAAAAAGATGGACAATGCTCCGACATGGTTTGGTTAGTTTGGTTTCTGTTCTTTCAGCTAAATCATTCTCAAACAAACTATTCTAAAATATGTTTAATTCCGGCTTTTAAGTACATTAGGACGATGAGCCAAATTGAATAAATCGTAATAAATCATATTAATGAGGCGGGGTAGCTCAACCATCTGAGATTTGGTTTCCCTTGAAGATGCTAAAGTCCCATGGAAACCATCCCCCTTGGGGCGAAAAAAAACCTGCAGGACATACGGCCAACAACCGACTGGACGTTATCGCCTTGCCCCTTGGTCAGAATGGTGGGCCCATACCTGAAATTGGGAATACCCCAAGATGAAGTGATGGTTTTAAAGGTTACCCCATTTTCAGACCAAGCGATATATTCAACTCTCCATTTTCTATTGGTCAGGCGAGTGTCTATATATCATTCATGTCATTGGAAGCATGACAGGCTATCCGGCCCCGTCCCAACTGTGTTCCTATTGTTTCTTGATTGATACTGGGTGTATAATGTTGTATATAATTATATACATACATATATATATGCACAGTACAGTATATGTAAATTTCTGGGTTCCCATTTGCTTTATGGTCCTTGTTATCGACATTAGAAATGTTTTTTATTTTTTTTAAGGTCCGAAAAGCTGTAGCTCATCCCCAACTCCTCACAGGGTTCTTGAGTCGCATTCGTCTCAGGAAAGCAGCACCGATCCAGTGGGAAGCCCAGTGAATGGGGAGATCCAGATGTTGGATCTAGTCTATGAACTGTATATGTATATATTCTACATACATATATATATACAGATATTCTATACATATATATATACATATATATATATACATATATATACACATATTCTATATGTATATATATACATATATATATATACATATATATATATACACATATATATATATAATTGTATGTTACAGTAGTGATAATGGTTAAATCATATATCGTCACGTTGCATCAAACAGAAATGTTGACCATTGAGAAAGGAATATAATGGAAATGTAACCAACTTCATATGATCAAGACCACTGGATTTTGAGATATTTTCAGATAAACCCACATGTTGCCTGATTTTGCTGGGACTCGGTTGATAACCACGCTTTGTGAAGTCTTCCAAGGAGTCTTGCTTCTAGCATTTTGAATCTGGAACCTCAAAATGCCGTGGCGATCCGTGTTGTGGAATTCAGGTATCCCCGGATATCCCCCCAAATGGTGGCGATTCCAGTAGGGAACATCGTGCTGATGAAGCGGCAAATTTGGGGCTTGAAAAATCTTGAAATCACCAGAGTCGGGGATGTGATCTTTGTTCGAAGCAACAGATTCCAACAGTAAGATCTGGAATTCCACAGATATCTATTTTTGGTAAGCTATAAATCGAACTCACGGACTCCCAGTTTAGTCGGGAGATAGCCGCATAGCCATCGTTGAGCTGTGGGATACTGAGGATCACTTACATTGGCTACAACAACACCACCGGGCCAGAGTCTGATGTTGCACTCGGACCAAACATGTTGAAAACCGAAAGACGCATCAGGGCGTGTCACAGTATCCACAGTGGTGGAATTGACATTTGGTGAAACGAAGCTCATTTTCTTTATGTTCATTGCCGATGGCGGATAACCATTATTTGAGGCATCGGAGGTTTGCATATATGTCCACGTACCTTCAGCTGTTTCAGCCAGAGATAAAGATTAAAGTGAGACATCACAATAAGTATTGACTCATGATAGCAAATATGCTCGTTTTGGAGATCTTTGTCTTTTTCAGCAAATTTTCTTCAAGCAAGCGTACCCAGTAGAACGTGTAAACCCCCTTCCAGGAATCACACATGAGCGATTATTTTTCTACCTTGCATGACCACCAAAAATCAGAATGAGTGTAAATCCAGTGAAAAATGCTATTATTAGCACCACAAAAAAACAAACAAGTACATGAAAATCATGTATGAGAAATATCAAAAATCAAAGGAGCCATCGGTTTCCATTGGCCAAATAACTGTTTTGAATGGTGATGCTTCCCTGTCCCGGTGCCACACCGGATGAAGCGGTCTTGGATCCCTACGTCTATGCGGGACAACATGCGGGCAGCAGCATAAGTGGCTGGTTGCTCTCCCTCAGCACTCTGATGATGCTGGGGGGTTGTCTTGCAAAAGCCAGAACCTGGGATAGAAAAGAAGGCATTTATAATATGATATAATATGATAAAAATATGTAAGTATATGTACAATTGTATATATGTGATTGAATATATATATATATATACACATGGTTTTGTTTTATTTTACATGTATTCTGTAATTAAATTATATATGTTATGTATTTTATATTATATATATAAGATGTATATGCACATAATGTGTAGCTATTATTTGTTATTATATATGTTATTGTATATTTACTATATACTATGTATATAATATTTTTTACATATACAGTAGCATATAGCCACCCAGATCTAGATTTCCGTTCATGTTCCTGTCACCTGTTTTTTGGCTTTCCCATGATTTACCCAGGGGAACACTTCAACCTTCAGAGGATCAACCAACCCAGGAAGAAATGGTGGAATTTGGCTACTCCTCAGCATTTGGTCTATTTTTTGCCTGGGATCATTTGTGCTGCAAGCTGTTGCGCACAGCTTTATCCCGGCAGCCGAGTACATGCCTCTGCTGCGAACTGCACGTGTTTTGTTGGCCCTTGGGGCAGGAGCTTTTCTGGCGATTGGCACAGGTGTTGGCGAGAGCTGGTTGCCTGATACTTGGATTTGCTCAGGTTTACTGCACAGGTGAATTCTCCAGTTGTGGCTGCTCGGAATATGTTCAATTGTTTGGGGGCATTTTAAACCCAACACGAAAATTATTCGTTCTTAACCCAACTAAGAAACCTATCGAACTTATATGAACATAGTTATTGACCCTAGTTGATTTTAGACTTTAGACCAAAATCAAGGACAGAAAAAATTGGAAGATCCTTTGGGCACTTGTTTGGTTGATGACCATAGCTTTAACCGCTGGCTTTGTTGCTGTCACGTTTCTGGCATCCGACGACGATGGAGATTTGGCGATGGCAGCCGTCATGAGCCTCGCACTTTTCTGGGCTGCGGGGATTTGGATCGTGGCTGCTCTCAAGAAGCTTGGAATTCCTTTCAATGTGGTGTATAAATGGTATACATTGAGAATATATATATATATAATATATGAATATATTGAGGCTCTAATCCCTATAGGATTGAATCAACCTCTGGATGGATTTGGTGATTTTTTTCTATTGCTACATCCACCAGAAATGAGGAAATCTACTGGGAATATGTTTTAATTATTCTGTTTGATTTTTCTTGGATTGGCGCCCTTAGGCGCAAATCCAAGGAAGCGTTTGCAGGATGGTACCAATGCTGGAGATTGGTTCATTCAGAGGATTGTTGCCACCTTACTCCTGGCTGGCGCCTTTTGGTTGTTCCCCTTGTTCGAGCCTACCTGTGGAATCCGGGGTCACTTCGAATGCTACAAATCCTGCCCGGTGGGCCCAGGCTTGCCCTACTTGTTTTTTATTCCGTTCTGGTGGATCTGCAACTTCGCGCTGGCGGCGGCTCAAGACAAATCCTTTCCGGACGAGCCAAAGTGCTGGTTGCTAGCGAAGATCAATTGCAAGGGAGCAGATGGAGATGACGAGGGACCTTAAATTCCAGGATGCCGCCATCTCAAAACCTCGCTGATTTCAACATATTCCATTCCAACTCACGGGCATCAGAACTCAAGAGTTGTGCATTTCGTGGTTGCTACGGCAGCCAATGACCTATTTGCTTTTTCAATCTTTTTCACCAAGGCTCTAGATGTTCTCTTTTGCAACTTGCATTGCGATTAGCCCCACGCCCCTCCTTTGTGCAGTCTGCGCAGATCCCTGAAGGGGCACTTCTGCCTGATTTTCACTGGGGGGTTGTATTTTGTACAATACAGCACTCCTATCAGCCTGAAGAAAGCAGCAGAAATCCACTCCAAGTCTGTCGGTTTGTTTCATGAGCAAAACGACAGTTGTTTGCGTCTGAAAATGGGGTATTCAGCAGAAATGTTCATTACCCTGGTGGGGTATTGAATGAGATATGTCTGTAATTTCTTATCTGGTGAATCAATGTGAATCATCACCCTGATTCAATGGCTTTCACCGGCGAGGTTGGGTGCCATTGACTATCGTTTGGTGGATGAAATGGTCGATCCGTCGGGGGCTTGAGATAGATGAATCGAAAGATTGGATGAGAAACTGAGGATCCATCCACGAGTCAGAGGTTCTTTTTCCTCCAATTCGAGAAGGTGCTGATATTTTACTGGTGGTTTCAAATTGTTTCAAATATGACTTATGTTATGTTCGACATTTTTCAACCGAACTGGGATGATCCCCAATGACGAGCATAGCATTTGTTTCAGGGCTCCAGCAGTCGTACATGGCGAGGTTGGACACGACTCAGCCCTTCAGTGAGGAACTGGTGAGAGTCCCGGGGTCCGACGCTCAGGCAGAAATCCCTGTGATTGGAAAAGATGATGAAAATTGAAGCTTTGCTTTCCAGAATGATCCAAACTAAGACAAAATGAAGATAAAATGAAGATCTGTGTTTTTACTTGTGGGACAACTAACCCCGGAAGAATTCTTAGATGACCCTTCCTGCTCCCAAAACTTCAAGTGCTGGGCTTCCCAGGTGCTTCTTGTGCTACACGCCACCCTCCCGGGTGCCGGACATTGAGTGCGACTCTAAGAATTCCTGCCTCAAACTTTGGGGGGTTAAAGCGGGGGTTTTACCCTCTGGTAAACTAACATAGCTATAGAAAATCACCATTTATAATAGGTAAATCAACTATAAATGATCATTTTCAATAGCTATGTTAGTTTACCAGAGGGTATTGCATGTTAAAGTCATGATTCTGTAGGCATGCCAGCCCAGAAAGCCTGGTTTGGTGGTGGACCTGTTCATTCTGCACCCAAAGAGGCAGTCTACTAGCGTTGTACAACTATAGTCATTATAGTCGCTAGTCGATCTACCATATTGTTTATCGTTTTTACATCGCGATGTTTTTTGGATTAAATACTAAATACATCTAAATACCAAGAGATCTTCAGTTTTGTTGGTGAAATATCCAAGAAAAGCACAATCGGATGATGTCGTGCAATCTCCTGCTTCAAAAGATGGGAGTTACATCGGTTTTTTTTGTGATTTTTACCATGTGCATCCATGTGCCATTCGTAGATCCTGGATCTGAAGTTTCAAAGCCGACTCCAGGGAAAGATCAGGACCTTAATGGATAATATGGATATGTATCGATCATGTTATTTAAGGGTGGCTTCATGTTTATGTCCATTGAAGGCCTTGGCTGAGTGTGAAGTCATTGTGCCAGTTGCTGGTGGTATATTTTCCCCATGTTGAAATCGAGAGATTGTCCCAATGTTATCCCTATCTTTTGGCCATGATATCCACCATAAAAAATGACCATTTTTTGATGTCCCCAGATGTCCCCTGGATGAAGAAACCAGCCGAAAAAACGGGCAAACGACATGAAAGATCCAGGGAGCTGCCGGCACTTCGGCATGGCTTCGTGACCTTTGGGAGTGCGGAGCCCAAAACAAAAACAGGGCGGCTGATTTTGTTCGTTCCTTCGTCATGGCTTTCATATGGCTTTTGAGCATCAAAATATGGTGATATAAGTGGATAGAACTGATGAATGACGGATGGTTGATTTGTTGGGATTAACCATCATATGGTTTTTAAAGAAATAAGTCAAGGGATATAAAGAATAAATGATGATTGGTGGATGATGAGTTTGGGGACTATACTACCTAAAAATACCTAAAACATATTTGGGATTAAATGGGATTTATATATATATATATATCACACCAATCTCGTGCGCCTGCAGGTGCCTGCAGATGCCTGTAGGCATCTACATGCTATTACCCCGGGGGGAATTGCCTTTCAAACTAGTTGCCAATTGAGTTTCCAATAGGATGTCTATCTGCGTTTTTCTGTGGACTCACAGTCCATAAAAATCCATGGGGAATCCCTTTCTCAATTGCTGGCTCTGACTCCAACTTCTATCCACAAAGAATCTAATGTGGTTAAAAGCAATGTCATTTGCACCATCCCCAAAATCACCATTTTTATAGGTTGTGTAAGCCATTCCCAAATGGGTGGTTTATTATTGTTTTAACCACATTATTAGAGAATTATAGAGATATGATTAGATGGTTTGCAAATTACAGCTGCAAAAGTCTTGACGATTTCAAACCGTGCTGAGCCATGCCCGCATCATTTAGTACTGTACGTTAACCCTGGTTAGGAAGTCCCCAATTCGTGCGTTCTCCTATTAACACATGATTTTTTGAAAATTCTCCGACCTCTTTTTCTAAGTAACAAAAATTCTACAAAAGTTCGTAAAAACCCTTGAAATGACACCCTTGCAGTAACCACTTCCTGTGGCTAGGCGACCGTGGGTCGCCGCACGATTGACCGAGGCTTCAGTTGCTTGGCCAAGGTGGGTGATCCTGTGGTGGCCCTTTGGGCCCGATGTCTGCACGAGGCCATGCGCGACGCGTTGCCGTGGCGAGAATGGCGAGGTTTTGTGGGTTGCTGGTTGAATGATGATTGAATGCTGGTTGAATGTTATGGCTTTCCTGGCCTTGTCTGAAAGTGGAAGATATATATAATTATATACCTGAGAGTAGTCAAGCGTTTTCAAAGGGAAAGTGATTTTCAGAACCAAGCGATTTGGGGATGATATTCAGACACACCCAAAAAAGGGAAGCCCAAGAAGGTGACTCTGGCGGCCGCCAGGTGCCCAACAGCAGACTGCTGGTGAAGAACAAGGGATTTTACTCACCGGATGTGCAGGCGTGATTTTTGGGGCATGCCGTGCAGGATGACCCAGAAATACCCAGAATATGAGAAGTTGTGGATCAACTTGTTGAACCCTAAGCTACAAGTGTTGCAAAACTGGATGAAACTGGATGAAATTGGCACAGCTGCCCAAATTTTGTAGTAAACATCCTACAGCAACTGTGACCTGATCCTTGCTGAAGGTTTTGGAAAGCATCGATGTCGGTATCAAAATTTGCCCCCAAATCATTGCGGAGCTTTCCCGCGATGCACAGATCATCGCCGATCGTTGATGCGCAGGCCACCTTCATCGCGAAATTTAAGGCCTGTGGCATCCCCGAACACCGGCAGGAGCCTGAGGTCGGACTGTGGTAAGATGTGGAAGTCTAGGAAAACACCAAGGATATGCCAAAAATGATCAACGTCATAATGGGTCCCCTGATTGAACCCCAACTCTTAGTCACGATTTCTTGAATCCGAGTTAGGGAACCCACATTTGGATTTGAATAAAAAAACTGTTTGGACGGGAGATTTCCCATGACGTTTTGACTTCTTCACTTTCAGCTTCGATGTGAGGTTAAAGCTGATGGCTTTGGCTCCCACCTCCTATGAGCACTTGAACATCTACAACGAGGCAAAATCGGGAATCCAACGATATCCAGTGATCTCCAATATGTCATCCAAGATCATCCCAGTATAAAATGATCGAAAATAGGTGATGGTAGAATATGATAGCAATACCCCATGTATCCCGACGGGATCCCATGTGAAAAAAAAATGTGTACGAGATATGGCTCATCTATGGTCATATCATATCATCTCATTTCTAAAGTAGTAAACCCATTCAAAACAATTTTAAACACATATAATCACATATACATGTGTATATATATATATATACAGACCCTCTGGTAAATTAACATAGAACCTGAAAATAGCATTTAAGTTTTTCCATGGTTAAACTCGTCTTCCAACCCCGATGACTGCCAGGCTGCCAGGGTCTAAACCAGGGTCGAATCGGTCGCAGGTGGACATTGCCCTGGACACCTTCCCCTACTCCAACACCACCACGACCTGCGAGTCACTGTTGATGGGTCAACCGCCTCAGCACGCCATGATTGGCCAATTGCTGGTTGATGGCGTGATTTTTTCGGGAAATTCATTGGAAATACCTGAAAAAAGACCTGGTATTTGATGGTCAAAACATGTAGAAATCAAAAACCCATGGATTTTGTGTTATTTTCCACTGAGTGATTGGTTTTTGTACCATGCAAAGTATCATGGACGAACTTGAGACGTTGCAAGAGTTGCAGCAGCAGAGGTGATGAGATATCAGAAGCGTTTATTCAGCACTCAAGCCATTAAAAGCACTCCTCTTGATAAGTTGATACATATATACATATATATATATACAGATATGTAGCAATATATATATATATATATTATTGTAGTGTATATATATATTATTGTAGTGTATATATATATTATACTGTAAGGGTTCTACTGATTGGCTCATTGCGGATGGTTATAACCCACAATAGGAATATTGACTGACGGGAGGATATAAGAGGGGTATTTTTCATGGCTCACTGGAAGGGTTGAAGGACCTATGTCAGACTTGCACAGAAATGCCGGATAAACAAAAAGCGATACCCAATGATAACCCCAAGATACCCCCAAGAAATTTGCAGTGCTGCAAACATGGCCCTATCACAGAGGAAAATCTTGTTGCAGCAACGTTTCCCGCTTTCACATTGAATCTCAGAGGGTTCACAGTATGTGGCTTCTGGAAGTAAGGTACACTAAATTCCAACTATGAATAATCCATTTTCCCGTGAAAATTGCCATAAGTTACCGGTATACCCTATTTCCACACACACACACCCATATAGCATATCAAATCTTGTTTACATTATCAGTTTCTGTGATGTTCTATATATATATATATATACGTATTAAATGAATACGATTTATTGATATATATATATATATATGTATATATATATGTGTGTTTGTATGTATATAACATATGTATATAGTATATGATATATGATATATGTTTGTTCATCCATCAACAAATAAAAGACATTATTTAATGTGTAAATCCATTCCCCATGTTTGATGTTTAAATATATCAGAGTCTTCTCTTTTGCCAGGGAAATTCTCTGCCTAAAACTGGCTGAGGAGTACCTGCTGTCACTCTGGTGGGAAATACACATGGCTCCCGAGTCCGACACCTGGGAGGTGATCGACTTGTAAACAGTGTAGATCACTGGACAAATTCGGAACAAGTGAATGAGTTATCATGAGTTACCCATGTTTTGTTCCAGAGTTGGTTGTTGTTTTGATATATGTTGATCATGTTTTAACATGTTTTAACAAATTTGATCTGAGCGAAAACTCAGCACCAGGGATAGTCGCTAATCGCAGATCCCAGGGAAGTGTTTGTCACGCGCACGAGGTTTGCTATACATTGCTTAATGCTATTGGCATTGGCGATTTTGCTGCTCATTCTCAGGCGCCAGAGTTTCGATCTTATGGACGCGGGTGAACCTGGTGGATTTTGATACTAAGCCACCGCCATTTGGGGGCTGTAAATTTTGACCACCCGAATGACTGGTCCAAAAAGATTCACAATTTCCTAGAATTGTTTGCGGGAAAATCTGCAGGAGCTAATAGTTCAATATCAACCAATCTGGGGTATATAATTTTACCAGCCACTTTGCGGTTGGCGCGTGAGGCTATAATTGGTCAAAAAACCCACAGCCTGGCTGATTTGCCAGGAAGCCTATGTGACGAAGGTTGGGAGCTCTGAAGGACTCCATATGTTTGGGAAACTCTAGCTTCATAGCTTCTGGTTGGTGGTTTCAACCATGACTTTTATGTTCCATATTTTCCATAATATATGGGATAATCATCCCATCTGACTCATATTTTTCAGAGGGGTTGAAACCACCAACCAGGCTTCAACGCTTCCCCATTTTTCATTGGGAATATGAATACCCCGGACCGCAGCTCCTGAGTTTTCCTGACCACTGGATAGATAATGTTTCAAGATGTTTCTTATGTGATTATCGATTTTGCATAGAATTGGATGATGGGAAAATTTACAGGAAAGCCGTATAATTGATGGTAAAAACCATGGTTTCCGGTTAAGATTTTCCCTTAAACCAAGCCAATGAATTTTACATGATTTTACAATATATTTTACTACACAGCTATTTATCACCTCCAAAAGCGCAAGCACAGTAAGGCAAAAACCATCCCAGACAATCCCTGGTTGAAACAGACATTGCGTTAGCCTTCATAAATCATCTCCTATATGGGTGTATGATGTATACCTACTAATTGGGCTTTAGAATTTGATCAGTAGGTATATACCCATATAGTAGCTATAAAGTGACTAATCCAATATACCATCATAGCCACTATTTGCATCTATATATCTGGTACTGTATATTTAGTCCTTTTTTTCCACTATTTCGAACTGTGGATCCCCGGCATTTTTCTCCGATGTCCACAACGGCAAATGGGACACGCCAAGGTGAAGGGCTTGTGTTCCAACCTCCAGACCCTGGCGTTGCTGCGGCAAAATCTGCGACAGGCGGCTTTTCAAACATGGCAAGGATGGGATGGTGATGGATGGTGTAACGGTGTAACCCCCCCAAAAAAGGATAGAAACGTGCTAAACGACCAAAACTATAGAAATATCATGTAATATCACAATAACGAATACTAGATTGATTAAACTGGGAAATATATAAGGTAAATATGGTTTCTGTTTTTTTCTAGGGTTGCTTTGGTTTGATGACCAGCACAGATGTCAATGAGTATTTGACTGACCAAATCTGACAAACCAACCAGGGCTTGACCTGTTGGGATTTTTTTTTTACAGAACCAAAGTGATAGTTCTTCAGGAACTATGGCTAGATATGCTTGTCATAGCTGCCAAAAAACCACGTCTGTGGGACGGTTAGTCTACCAACATCTTGGGCGTCATATGGCGTCATCAGGTTTTGCCTGAATGGCATTGGGTTGGTTTAAGGGAAAATCTACAGGAAACCATGGTTTTTACCATCAAATATAGGGTTTTCCTGTAAATTTTCCCTCTATGAGAATGGCAACAATATCTTGGGGAGTACTTTCCAGGGGAAGCAAGCCTCGGTATGTGAAGAGAGTCAGTAGAACCGTTTGATGGCATTGATGACATCTATTCAGCTGGCAGTTTTTTTTGATGGGATGCCATTGCATTACCGAGTGTTTATTGCTTCAGATACCAAGGTGATGGACGACTGCTTTTGAAAGATATATGGAATATCAATATGATTTGATATGATTATTTTCTTCTACAACACAGGCTGATACATCCAACCACAACTCTTATGCCACCACAACAGGCACTTCTATCCTAACCCCCCAGATGCCTCGTGTCGTGCCTGCTGCCTGCTGCCCAGATCATGCTTTCCTCGCCCCTCTGCGATGGACCGGGCTTTGTGCGTGAGAAGTACGAGCCTGGTTCCCGTCGCGGGTGGTGGGCCAAGGGTGGCACTTCAGGGTCAACTAGATCGGTGACCAGGCGAGACCAGAAAAGATGATAGCCGATGGCCGTTCAAATGTCTTAAAATATCAATCAGTATCATCAATATATGCCCGTTGAAGAGGTCATTGGTCTGTGGGAAATCCGCTATAATCTCGAGAAATCCTGAAAAATCGTTGCAACATGTTGCCCAACATGTTGTAACTTCTCCCATTTTTCAGCAAAAAACCTCCCATTTTTCATCCCCTGTTCATCTGTTGTGAGTCCCCATCATCTCAAGACCTAGGCCGATCCTACTGGAAAAGTGGGCAGCCTACTGCAATGGCAGAGCTCCGTCGCAACAGGCGAAGATCATCGAAGATCTGGGGATGGGTCAAACCAGTGACCTGTGGAACTGTGGTGATTTTAGACAAAATCTAAAGAACTGCTTAAGGTGGTTTCAAACATGACTGGATTATTTTCCATGATATATGGGATGTCATCCGAAACCCATTGACGAACTCCATCATTTTTCGGAGGGTGGCTCAACCACCATCCAATGATGTCCCCAAATTTGACCCCCATTTCTTGATTTCAGAAGGGAGCTTCCATGAAACTTGAGGACATGATAGGACATGTAAGATTACTTGGATCATCCCATGTTTTTCGTTGGTTTTCGCAACGGTGATCGTAACATATCGTAACTTCCCTATTCTGAGTGGCCCCATGTAGATGGCCATGATGGGTGAACTATCGTGATCCTAACCGTCCTAACGAGGACGAATGAAATCCCGAGTTTGCAGAATGGTGAAAGCCACGATTCGAATCACTGAATTGAATAAATTCATATATAATCACTGTGAATCCCCATAGTTATATCATGTTATATCACTATGGATGATAGAATCACTGAGTGAATCCCCATCGTTCACTATGGAGGTCTTTAGCAGCTCGGAGCCGCCCGATCCGCTCGCGTTGGAGCCTTTGGCCCGATGCGAGGTCAAGCCTGACTCATATCCAGTTAAGTTACTGAGAGGCCTAAGCCATGTCCTGTAGAAAATGACCATTTAATACCATTTATAGTTGATTTTCCCATAAACAAATGTGATTTTTCCATAGTTATGTTAGTTTACCAGAGGGTATCTGAAAAAATGTTGCGATCTGATATATCAGACATATATACATACATATATACATGTATCTATACATGATATATTAGATTAATATGTCAAATAGTGTTTATTATTGATAGCTATTTGACTCAGCATGTGTCAGCATGTATCGGCCCATCCTGGGTCGCTTTGAGGCCAGGACCCTTTGCACCACCATTGATGCCAGGTAGGCCGCATGGTCGCCGCATGGTGCCGCCGTTGCCATTGTCATATGACTTGGGTTAGAGTTTTGCATTGTACCCACTAGTGTCAGAAACCACTATTCTTGGTTTCTTCTGTTTCTTTGCCATTCATAGCCTTTTTCATGTTTCAATTTATGCGGTATTTGGTGTGGTTCCATTTTTTCTCTGAAATGTGTCCTCACTCGGCTCCAAGTGTTCCTTGTGGTTGCCCGTTCTAGTCAGGGTTGCTCCAGCCCGGTATAGGTAAATATGGTAAATGATAGCGGCACTGTTTCTTTTTTCGCCATTTTACCACGAGATTTTGCCAAGTTATCCCCCTTCTACCTGGGGTTTTGGGAGCAACGTTGCTACTGGATGCTTTTGGAATCGCCAACCCCACAGGCCAGCCTTTCCTGCAGGGCCCAGGCTCGTTCATGCCTCAAAAAGGAACGGAGAGAAGAGATTGAGAAATTGACAGCTCACTACATAAAGTGTATATCAGATAATATCAGATAATATCAGATATATCACTACATATATACATAAATATCAGATAATATCAGTTATCAACCGACCATTTACTGTGGTTTTTTTTTAAAGGATCGTCCCAGAGTCGCATCGCTCTTCGGACCACCAAGGACTTCAAACCCACAGGCGTCAACCTGCAGCTGTTGGCACGTGCAGTTTGTCTCCTCGAATTGTCAGTTTTTCGTAAGAAAAATGACCATCATGGGATTTTGGGGTAGCCGCAATCTTTGAGCCCTAAAATTGCCAGAAAAAAAAGAGGACTATGCATATATATATAATCTATTGGAGTTTTGGGCCCCATGGGTACCCTATCTTGAGCCATAGCCATATTTTTGAAAGGCAGCTAAGATAGACATGGTAGATACACCTCAACGGTTTCTGAGGAGAAGCAACGAGTTACATAGGTTCAAGCTACAGCTTCATCTAAAATCTATACTGAAATTCTATGCTGAAATTTATCTTGGTTTGTCTGAAATAAATATATAATGCAGGGGTTTCAACCAACATTTTCTGATGGTTAAATCCACATTCGCCATGGTGAAGTCGATGAATTACACCCGTTTTTCTCGGGGGGATGGTCATCAATCCACTAGGGATACATACACATGATGTTTGGATTCCCATGGCATGGGATGGATGACCATAGCACTTATTGAAATAATTCACTACTTAATACATCATGATAAATCCCCATGTTCTGATGTTTGAATTCACTCAATGGGAATTTCAAGAGCGTAAATAGAGATCATTACTGTACCATATAAGGCCATATGATTTTGTTGGTAGATTCCCGTGAACATAGCCCTTAGGCCTCAAAACAGGGCTTGGCCATCGCCAGGGGCAGATGGCCATGGCAACAATGCCCGTGGCCAACCAACCAATGCGCCTCGCCAGGGAGAAACGGCCATAGTCCTGAAGATCGGAAATCCATGGGATTCCTGATGAAAACAACTGAGAGAAACTCCCCAATACTCGAAGGGTATCTTACTGGCCCCCATTCTGCCTACCTTTTGGTTCAAGTACCTTTAGCCAGCTAATCACAAGATCATCACAAGCGTTGAGGAAAACACAGTGAGAGTCTGTTCTTATCAGTGTGACATTCATTCAGGGCTCTTAAGGACCCCGAAGTTTTAGTTGGCAGCGGAGCCGGAAACCCCGGCATAGGAACAAAGTTTGGGGATTAAGATCATTCTTCACTTTCATCTTCACCCAATGGCGGTCATGACACTGTCGTGGCGCATTCTTGCGCTTATCCTGGTGACATTCATTGCCCCATGGATTCTCCGCGATCACGCTGGTAAGGGAATCACTAGCGCCGACGCTGTGCTCTCTACCAGCATGATCGCCGAAAGCCGCAGTGTGATGAAGAACGCCTCTGTGGTCAATGTGAAGAAAGATCTTGTTGGCGAGTACTGGGGTAAACCTACCAAACCCCAAAACTCACGTAACACCACCCCATTGACACAATCATCCAGGGACCTCCGCCGCTATCATCGTTCACGTTTGGTCTTCAGATCCACCCAGCACAGCCGCCGCAAGGCGGAGCTTCTTGAAAGAAAGCGCAGGAGAGATCTACGGGCCAGAGGCTACAAGGTGCATGCCTCAACAGCTTCAAACGAACCGTTGGGGAAGAATTCAAAGCCGCCGTCAAGCACAGAGGGTAACCCGAATAATTCGGTAAGCACAAGTCGATATCCCTTAAGGATCATTCGAAAGTATGTTTCTTCAAGGGGTAATAGGACAGGCACCAGGCAGTTAATGCTATGCTTCACTCTTAAGGATGCAGAGGGCAACGCGTTTGTTTTGAGTGCCAGTCTGTTACAACCGCCAACAGGCCGAAGGCCAACTTGGAAAAGTTCAGCCGTTTATGCTTTGCCAAATACACCACACCTTGCGCATTTGAAAAGAGAGGTTGAAAACAAATCCTCCTCTTATGCAGCCAATCCTGATTGCAAGCCACGCCACGCACATGCAAGCGTACAGTCATACTCAACAGCACGTGCAGCAGATGCCACAAGTCGTCATCCAGGACGCAAGCTGGGTGAACCCAATCCTGAAGCACCCAGTGTCCATCACCACAGTCCGCCACGTCACATTGTCTTAATCGTGTGTGCCATTGTCCCGTCAGCCTTCACTGGTCTTGTCTGTCACATGTTGCCGTCTAGGCATAATGGCAGGCTTCCCCCCAGCTGGGGGCCTGAGCGTGAAGGATATGCATTCAGTCAGTGGGCCAGAGATGTGTTGTTATGGTGCATAATGTCGGATTGGGATAGCTCAAGAAAGTGTGCCGCCATTTTATCTCAACTCACAGGTTCAGCCCAAGAATACGCAAGACAAATTCCACCGCAGACCATCATCACTGGCGGAACCATTAACGGGATAGCCTGTGATTCCGTTACATTTTTGATGCACGAACTGTCTTCCCGTTTTGGTCGCCTAAGTGAGGAAACCCGTCTCGAGAGCATTGGAGACCTATTCGATTTCAGATCCCGGCCAGGTGAGCGCATCGACTCAGTGCTTGAAAGGTTTGATGCATGCCGAGCCAAAGCCGCAGAACAAGGAAGACTGACAGTGTCGTACGAAGGACTTTCATGGATCTTGTTACGTGCCATCAATGTATCCGACCATCAACTAGTGCAATTATTGTTGCCGTTCAATGGCATGATGCCGAATTCACAGGAACAGCTCAACCAATTGCGCTTGAGTTTGCGACGCATGGGTCACATCTTGGAGGGTTCGCCTGGTAATGTCTCCCAAAGCATGCGTAGCACCACGCACCAGTATGTCAGCATCCCCACTGAAGAGGAGCCTAGGCCATCCCAATCGCATGCATGGCCTCAGGCCCAGTCCAGTGGATTCTTGTCGTCTCAGCATTCATGGCAGCAGGACCCAGCAGCACAATGGAGCCATCATCCGCATGATGCTTTCGCCACATTTGAAGATGCCAGTGGCACTGACACCGATACAAGCTCTGATGATGACGAGAGTTGGGGGCCTGACCTGTCATCCATGACGGAGGACGAAGTTGCAGCCCGTGCTCAGGAATTATTCTGGGCATATGCCCGTGCCAAAAAGCAATGGCGTGCTTTCACACAAAAACCGACAAGAAAAGTGCGGAGGTTTCTCCGTAAGCGAGGCTTTAAAGGCAAGGGAAAAGGCAAACCAAAAGGCCACCCTGGGAAAGGCAAACCAGGGGTTGTCAGTAGCACGTCCTATCTCGCTGACTTGTCTGACCATGAGATGCAGTCACTATTCCCAGCCGCTGTTTCACACGGAAGGCATTGGCAGAAAAGTACAGGGAAAGGTGGCAAAGGCCGCAGAGGCAATCCGCGCGGCACTGACGGACGCCAAATGCAATGTCATTCCTGCGGGTCACTGGACCATTTGGTTGCTAAATGCCCTCGCCGTCAGCCTCAGCAGGACAGGCCAAATCTGTTTGTATATACAAATCCAGCCCCGATCCTTTCCACTAACCCGTCACAACCACAGCCAGGCGCCATTTCGTCCGCAACCATCCTGATGGTCACTCCAGGTGATGAGCCTACTGGCGAAAGCCAAAGCAGTCAGAACGATGCATGGCAGAATGCCCGGATGCCACAGCTGCCACGCCGATCCACTGAGGCACAAAGCCAGGTTGCATGGTCCAATTACCGTCCGTCATCCAGTCAACACGGGTCAGTAGCGCAAACACCTGCTAGAAGCCATGGTCCAGTCCTTCCACCAAGTCCAGTGTCGCATATGTCCGTCCCAGCGCAAGATTCACACCAGTCATTCATGCAAAGTTTGTTCGGTCGGTTTCTCGAAGCAGGCAGATCACGCCATCCGCACAACGTGCATGCAAGCCCCGCTGTGCCTGAAGCGCGTGAGGAAGATTCCCAGTTTGAACCATTGCTGCCTGAAACAGTGCAGCCACCTAGCCGAAGCAGCCATCGCAGTCCAGAACCATCCGCAAGAAATGCACCTCGGGCCAACACCCGGCCATTCAGATTAAGCGCGAGTCAAAGCCAACAGCCGCAAGCAATTCATTTGACAGCACCTGTGCCTGAACTGCCCCCGTGGGCTCTGCTTCCAGGAATGGAGTTTCTGCATGGTGTCCGTCACACAGTGCCGCAACACGTCAGTCCCTATCCGTCCGTCGTTGTCTCGTCTCTTGACCAATTTGGATTGCAAGGAATTGAAGAGTTCCACCAAGCAGGTCGCCTCATGGCAGTCAGAAGTGAAGATAGGCCACCAGGACTTGTTGCAAGCCAGGACTCAGATCCCACGCATGGGCAAGAAACGCAGATATGGTATGATGCCGGAGAAGCACTGCGCACTAGGCAGCGTACAGTCCGCAACAGAGATCGCGAGGAACTGGAAGAACGTGTCCGAGCAGCCATTGACGCCCAGCAAGCATCTGAAGCAGAGGATGCACATGTCATGTCCGAAGTTAGCCAAGTCAGTAGAACGCAGTCCTTGTCCTCCAATCCGCCATCATATGTAGGTGACTTGTCTCAGTGTTCCATATGTCTTGAGCAGTACATGCACGGAGCCCCATTGGTCCGTCTAATTTGTCGGCACACGTTCCACGAAGAATGCTGGAACGAGATGGTGATCAGGCATGCTAGACCGGAATGTCCTTGCTGCCGAGGAGGTGGCACAGTCATTGCAAATTACACCTTTGTAGGCCAAAATGACGTTGCTTCACACCAAGCCACTCCTGAACCATCCTTCCCATGGTGGCCAATTTACCATGCGTCCACCCAGCTGGACGGGCATAGTTCCATTCTTGTTGACCCCGGTGCATACACGAATCTAGCCGGCGCTGAATGGGCAGTAAAACAAGCCCAGCTGGCGAGATCAGCCGGTCGACAAAGCTACAAAACAAGAATGCCACAAGCAATGTCAATCAAAGGCGTTGGAAACGGGACGCAATCGTGTACAGACGTATCGAGCATTCCAATTTCCATTCCCAGAACTATTGACCCGTCAAGGCCAGAAGAAACAAGTACCATGGAATTCACGTTCCAAGCTCCAACTGTTGAAGGCGGGGGAAGTGCACTCCCAGCCCTTCTGGGATTGAAATCGCTGACATCAAAGAATGCCATATTGGAAATGTCAGAGGGTTGCGAGTACCTAACATTTCCAGGCCCAGGGCTTTACAAAATTGATTGGGCACCCGGCGCCATCCACATCCCATTGCAAAGGGTGCCTTCAGGTCATCTCTGCTTCCGCGCAGATCTGTTTACAACTGGCCAAGCGAGCGACCAACAAAATGCAGATCTTGCAGAACTTACCCATGGCCTGGAACTAGTTCCATTTGCAGGCCGTGCCTGCGAGCAGAGCCACCCAAGTCTGCCACAACCTGTCACAATGCAATACCAACCCAAAGCTGGACAGCATGCGCAAGCAACCGTAGCCGTGGCAAGCACGGTCGCAACCCATACTGTCAGAACGCAAGATGTCCTCTCCAAGTAGACAACCCAGTATTCAAAAATCAGCCAGTAGCACTTGTTGTTGACGATTCACACGTTATCAGCAAACACATGCAACAAATGGGATATTTGGTTGACCACATAGATCCACGTGCTCTCCTGCAAAATAAAAGTCAAGCCGTGAAATGCATGCGCCGCGGCCAGTACGCATTTGGATGGATCACAGCGCCTCTTCGTGGAAAGCACGTGCCACCAGAAAAGTTCAATGCAGCATGTTCAGAAGTTGCAGCTCTCATGCTGGCAGCTGAAGAGTCGTCCGCTATGTGTATTGTTCTAGGAGCATTCGGCACGTTTTGGCAAAACGTTGATATTCATCAAACATCCCAAAGGAGCCTAATCACCAAACATTTTCACCGGCTTTGCCACTTTGGTATCAAAATTGACCCAGATGCTGTTGTGCCATCAAGTGCGTGTTTTGTCTCCTTAAGTACTCACATGCCAGTGTCCAGTCATTCCTGCAAGTGTCCAACCAAAGCACACGTGATGGACTGGAACACAGAAGGGCAGTCTCGAAATAGGGCGCAGGCCACAGCACAAATTGCCAAGCAGCTTCTTCTTGCATGTCACTCCGTACTGGTTATCCCAGGAGCATCAGATGTGATGAAGGGGAACTCCTCCTTGGGCCCTTCAAATGTGCATGGAACCAGTACAACAACTAAACAGGAAACACCCAACTCTTGTAATCATCTTACCAGCGAATCTGTGTCGCATGAGCCACAAAGTCATGGCATTAAGCAAGCTCCATGTGGTCCATGCGTGCAACACCATTTTCCCACAGAAGAACGAATCCAGCAAAAAGCAAAGGCCAAGCTGCGAAAAGCGCAGGGAATTGCGCCAAAGAAACGTTTAAAATTTCTTGAAAATCATTTTGATGATTGTGGGACTGATTTGTCAGGACTCGGCATAGATCCAGAAAAGTTCGAGGAAAAGAGTGCCGGACATTTGGCGTTCCAATTCATGTACCACCCTGCCTCACAGCACCAACTGCTAGAAACGTTCTTTGCCAAAATAGACAGGAACCCAGTAGATATTCTCGAGCTCTGTGGGCTGTCCACAAAATCCAGCAGCGTGGCGGTCCGACAGGGTTTAACGAGTGGAACTAATTTAAGCTTTACCTGTTCTTTCCAACACAACCAGCATAATCAACAGGAAATTCTCACGTTCATTTGTTCCCACAAGCCCACTGTAACCATCATGACCTGCGCCCCAACATGCAGCTTCTCGGGGCAGGTTGCTAATGCAGTTAATGAAAAAGGTTTATCCTATCTGATAGAGCAGCCTTTTCCTACCGCATTGTGGTGCCAACATGTGTGGAAGGTGTTATTTGCTGACCCGCAAACCAAACACCTACTGATGCACCAATGTGCTGCAGGGCTCAAAGGCCCCAAAGGTGGCCTTGTTAAAAGACCTACCAGTCTTGTAAGCAACAGCCCTGCTCTTCTCTTGCCATTAGCCGCTTTTGTTTGTCCAGAAACGCACGTTCATGAAGTGCTGGAAGCAAAGGCCCAAAGTTGCCCGGCATGGCCATGGCAGATGGCAAATGCTGTTGTTGATGGTGTCATTGCAAAAAGGCACGCGCCTCGCCTGTCCCATCAGTTTCCAACTGTCGCTGTAGGTCCAACAGATTCACGTGCAGACTCACGCACCGCATTCAGCGAGTGTCCAGCATGTCGCAGCCACATGTCTAAATATGATGCTAGACATATTAGAACACAGGGTAAATGTCGTTGGCCTGACACCGAGCAGATTGTTTGGGACTGCCAGGGATGCAAAAAGGACAAGCCAGCTGCTCATGACCTCCATACATATGGGCCAGACTGCAAGCATGCCATCATTGCCCATCGCGGTTCCACGCTTAGAAAGGGCGCGCATCCAAGAGAACCATCCAAACGAGCTCTTGAAGTTCCAGGTGCCGAAGCGCAAGCCCAGCTCCCGGACGGCTCTGACCTAGCGCCGGCTCCAGAAGCAGAGCGTCCCGACCCTGACCCAGCTTCCAGCAGCCATGAAATGATGCCACAACCAGAGGAGCAAAGCCGCGGCCGTGGCCTTGATAGAGAAGATAGGCACCGGAGAGTTTTCCGAGATGCAGCAGTAGGTGATGCCCATGCATCTGATTGGACTCGTTTTGATATCACACATTGCCTGAGAGCATTCCGCAGTCAGCATCAGCCCACCATCATTAAAACACTTCGTAAAGTCCATTTAAGATTGTGGCATGCCGGAGTGTCAAGCATGACATCCCTTCTCCGGAACGCAGGGGTTTCCCAAGAAGTCCTTAATAGCATCCCTGACATCATTGCCACATGCAAAGAATGCAGAATGTGGACAGCCAGGCCGAAAGACACCAGGCCGTCCGTTCAAGTAGCAATGGCTTTCAATGAAGTAGTCGAAACAGATCTCCTATTTTATAAAGAGTTTATCATTCAACATTTTGTGTGCCGTGCTTCCCGCTGGCATTCAGCTATCCAGACGCCAAACAAAACTGAAGCACAGTTGCTGGAAAACGTATCGACAGCTTGGGTTACGATTTTTGGGCCAATGAGCACCCTCGTTTCCGACCCTGAGTCAGGTCTCAGCACTCCAACGGCCGAAGCCCACTTGAAGAGGATGGGCATAAAGCTTAAATTAAGAGGAAAGGACCAACATGCCAGGTACGTGGAGCGAAGAGGAGCCATACTAAGACATGCCCTTCACGTAGCTGATGCGCAAGCAGTTCGTGAAGGTATAAGTTTGCCATTTAAAGAGCTACTAGCCCAATGTGTTTTCAGTGGAAATGCGCTCACACATGTGGGCGGTGTCACGCCATATCAAGTAGTCATGGGTCGACAGCCAGCCATGTTGCCACCCATCACAGATGACCCAAGCATTGATGAGCGACGAGATGCACGCATTCGTGAAATTGCCCTCCAGGCCATGATAGGGGCCACCAGTGCAGCCAGGGTATCCCTTGCTCTAAAAACGCCAACTACATTAACAGCTGAAGACAGGTTCAAACCTGATGACCTCGTTGAACTATACAGAACACCTGCGAACAAGGACAGTTCAGGGTGGTCAGGACCATACCGAGTAGTTGAGTGTAGAGCATTCGATGGCATTGCTGTTCTTAAGGTTGGGGGTATCAATCGGCCATATCGCATTCAAGACATTCGTCATGCCATGTTTATAACAACACTGTTGGGAACAACATCAGCAGACGTCGCCAAAAGAGCTTTGAATTGCGTTCACCAATTTTTGGAATCATTGCCCCCAAATCGTATTGAATGTTTTGGACTTACTGACGATGATTGGGGTAATCAAGTGGTCACGCAAGCAAGCAGAAAATGGCCAACCATAGCCCGCGCATTAAACTACTTGATCAGAACTTCTCTGCAAATGTACGATGTGTGTGCCGCTAGACTTGGTCGGGAAGTCAGAAACCTCCCACACAAAAAGGGAACCCAGTTTAATGTAGCACTAAATTGGGATATGTTAAACCCAGACCATGTAAGCACGCACACCAGTGACCAATCCAAACTAAACGTTACGAAAGTATTTGGTTCTCAACAAGAGCATTTTGCCATTTTGCAATGTTTCAAATTGGACCAAGCGCGCGGACTCCTCCTTGAAGACGTTGTAGACAGCTTGCCGGCCAGAGAACCTGTGGATCAAGAGGCGTCAAGCAGAAACCCAACGCCACATAGCGCGGCCAGTAACCACAGACTAAGTACAATCCCTGAGGAAACTAGCAGTCATCAAATTTCCAATGAAGCCGAAATTTTGTTCATGAAGCATTTTGCAGACTCGCCGAAAGAAGACGCAAGCCTGTTGCTGGAGCTTTGCGAACTGGCTGTGAATGAAGACCCTTCAACATTTGATGTCATTCCCTTTGAGCCTGATGCTGCCGTAAATTTCTGCGCTGAATCAGAAGATCCCTTTGACCCTGCGCAATTTGTTGCGCACAAGCAGCGGGAGTTTCCAGACACACTAGAGCGGGATTCAGTTGGCAGTTTCGTCGAAACCTTTGTCGATCCAGAAATTTCCCAATACTTCATGGATGGTCTTTCCCAAAATGTTTGTCTAAGTATGAAAATCTACCTGAACTCTGATGCAAAAAAAAGAAGTCATCAGCCGCGACACTGACATCATGACTTCTGAAGAGCAAGTCACCCATAAACAGCAGGTAGATGAAGCCATCATCTCAGAATTTAAGACTTGGAGTAAATATGGTTGTTTCGAAATAATTAATCGCAAAGATGCCCAAATAATCATAGATTCTCGCATGGTTCTAAAGTGGAAATACATCGACGGTAAAAGGGGAATCCGTGCCCGCCTTGCCCTGCGAGGCTTCAAGGAGCCAGTAAAAGACGGAGAACAAAATTACGCTGGTACAGCACAAAGGCTATCGCAGAGAATCTTGGCGAGCACAGCTGCTACTCACCCAGACTGGGTTTTTGGTGCCGCAGATGTACCAAAAGCTTTTCTCCAGGGACTCACATTTGACGAGCTCGAAGCTGAAACCAGAGAACCACGTAAATATATAGCTTTCACAATCCCTAAAGGGACCCTAAAGCATTTGCGATGCGTGCCAAATTTCGAAAACTTCAATGAGCATCAGCATGTATTGTCGTGCCTTAAGCCTGGCACAGGGTGCCGAGATGCCCCGAGAGCGTTCTCATTAAGACTCATGAAAACCCTGCGAAATTTTGGCATGCAATCCACCATGTATGACCCCCAGTTAATGTTACTTTTCAAAAATAAGGAGTTGGCAGCTATGATTTCTATCCATGTCGATGATATCAAATTCACTGGAAGGCAGAACGATATTGACCGACTTGTAAAATTGTTGGAAGCGACCTTCGGCAAAATGACCCTGCAATTTGATAAGTTCACAAATTGTGGTATGACCCATGAAAGAGACAAGAGTGGGAATATCGTAATGCACCAAGATGAATACATTCAAGCTTTCAAACCAATCCACCCAAAGCATTATCAAGGTTACGATATAGACGGGCCCTGTAGTGAACATCAGCAAGCCTTGTTCATGTCACTGTTGGGCGCAGTGGCGTATACAAGTTTGACGCAAGTTTGGATTCTTGTCTATATTGTAGCCCTGCAGAGAAAGAATAAGCAAGCTAGTGTATCCGACTTGAAAAGACTCAATGCCCTGACCCGGGAGTTAATGAGAAATCCCCAAAAGCTGTACTACCATTGCATGACCCCAACACATTCTCGAAGTTTATTCAGATAGTGCATACTCCAGGGAAGGGGATACAGCACATGCACTGAAAGGTATGATTTGTTTGCGGTTAGGTAGAAGTGCCGAAGGTCAGGAATGTTCACACTTGTTGGATGCACTATCGCAGTCACACAAATTAGTTGTCCGTTCCACATTCGGGGCAGAGCTTTTAGCAGCCACTTCCGCAGTGGACCATGCTTTTGGCATTGCCCTCACCCTCCATGAGACCGAAGCCGGATGTTTAAAACCCGATGAA